GTGATTCGACGTTGCTCGCTAACCAACCCAAAAAGTTCTTCGGTCGAGTGGTTGTGGCCTTACGTCCGAATCAGGTCCCCAGTCCGAGACCCATGTTCAGCCGTGGCAGGGAGTGTGTACCATGCCAACATGCATGGTGTTGTGGTGCAGCCAACACAACCACTTTATTTGCGCTGAACAGCCATCGGCACCCTCGGTCAACAAGGCACTGACTACTCGGAGTGAGGGTAATGTTGAATGCAGCTAGCAAACGTTTGCTCCTGCCACACCCTTTGTTGGATTTTCTCCCTCACTCTGGCCGTTACACGCTGCATTTACCATGAATACTGGGTGCAATCAGCGGATGCGAAGGCTAGTTTGTGTGCGTTCTGAACATTCAAGCGATGCCGACGCGGATCCCGCGAACATTATTATATTAAAAATCAGTTAAGTTCAGCTGGTTGTGTTTCTCAACACAATTGTTTAGAGGCTATGCGAATGATTTCATCGGGATTTTGACACGTGTATACGAGCGTGAGTCAGCAGTGTTTCGCCGGAATGGGTGCTAAATATGCAGCGTGAGTGCAAGCGCAGTGCTGACTGCTGAGCCGCGAGTCGAATTCGCCGAAGCATCTCAAAATTAATGATGATGTTATCACATAACTGATGATGTAATTGCATAACTGATGATGTAATTGCATAACTGATGATGTAATTGCATAACTGATGATGTAATCGCATAACTTCTATAGCCGGTGGTAACACGGATGTGTGAACTTCACTTTACTGTACAGTCAGGCATCTCGATGGCCCGGTATGAGTGAAACTTCCTAAGCTTATTGGGTTTCTAAACGCGATTGTACATATAGCTGGTTGCAATGCGGATAAACTAACTACTGTAAAAGCCATATAACGAAGTGCTAACTCTAACGAGTTACTGTAAAAGCAGAAATTTTCGGTGGTGTTTTATTTTCGGTAACTTCGGTGCCGAAATTTTTACCGAAAATAAAACGCACCGAAAATATCGGTATAGTACTAGTACACTTACCTGGAACGCGGGTTTACCGAAAATTTCCCTCCGCCGAACCGCCGATTTTGGAGAATACCGAAAATATTACACCACCGAAAATTTCTGCTTTTACAGTAACGAGGAGAAATCTGTCGTTAAAATAGAAATCGTTATACGGAAATCGATACATATACTGTCCTATTGAGCGTTGAGAATGAGTGAGAATCGTTACCTTTGGTACACGTAAACTAGTCAATTTTGGGAAATGGTTATATAAGCCAGGGTTCTAGCCAAAGGGGGGTAGGGGGGGGGGGGGGGCGCAGCGCCCCCCTACTCCATTTGCGCGCCCCCCTGTGAAAAAGTGCCGCCCCCCCCTACTAATTTTCCGATTTTTGTGTTTTTTCACGCCATTCAACGAAAATACAGTCGATAGTCACTACTAGAGGGTTCATAAAGGCACATTTGTGAGGGGTGAAGTCGGGGTTCACCCTGTATGTTGCATTTTGCATGGCAAGACAATTTTGGACAATGGAAAAAAATGGGTCATGAGGTAACTTTTTCCCATGCCCGCCCCCCTACTATATTGACCTGGCTAGAACCCTGATATGCGCCTCGTTAGAATAATGGCTTTTACAGTATACTGTAAGACATGTTATTATAACGAGTCGCAAATTTAACGATTGTCCAAAATTCATAGGTTAACGAGAAGATATGTTAACGATCTCGCACTATTCTGCCATATCCACACACAGCATACATGAAGCAGTACGGCCTCAACGGATCTTATTATAACGAAGAAATGTCATCCGTTAAAACGTTAGATTTGCTTCCTCGTTATATATACATGTCTTACAGTACTTTTTCGACCAACAAATACGCTAGAGGAGCTACAGGTGCTGCAGAGGGTAGTGCATGTATAGTCGAGTGGGGTGCACTTAGTTGACCTAAATCGTTCAGTTTAATAGCCGCTGAGACAGCTTCAGGATCAAACTGCATTGCATTGTGGGGTGGACAGTTGACTCCACACGTATAGTGCATGTGTACTGTACTACCACACATAGTAGTGTGGTGGTTTTATTCCCGTAGCTATGCAAAAGACGTTACTTCAGTAACGTCTGGCGCTAGCCAGGGTCCACACAGCTTTAATTCCGTGTGCGTTTGTGTGTTTGTGCCATCGGCATGCCTGGCGCTATCCCGTACCTGTCCCGTACCGTACCATCAAAGACAGCTGGCCACAATATTGAAATAGGGCTTTCAAATGGAAGATCATAACGTGAAGCAACTTGGAAGAATGAGTATGTATGTGTAATTTTTAGACCAACAGTACGTTCAAGTCTTTCCAATATAACCTACGTCTACTCAGTTGGGTCTCTATTGTTTTGTCACATGCAGATAATTTTAACTAATCACTCCGACATCACCTGCACCAATGGCAAGTGAGGGCCATGAAGCCCATCAGCCAATGGATGTCGTCGACTCTGCAGCAGCAGCAACAGCAGCGGTGACATTGGAAGAACAGCCTAAAAGGAAGCCCAGTGCTCTGGAAATGAAGTTTAGCCACTTACAGAGGCTGATCTACAGGAATATGAAGTACGTACCAGTACACGAAATATATTTTTTCTTGTACTCTCAGAACTGTTTTTTTCTATGTGGACTCATCAGCGCAGCGCAAAGAAAATGAGGCCGAAAACGATAGCAATGAAACAAATTCCAACGCCAGATTTTTAAACCAGACCGGAACTTTTGCACAAGAATAAGGAAGATTCGATGAATGTTGCTACAACTACTGAAGTTTGTATCTTGTTCCGCTGAGATGTTTTGCTCTCTAGAGAAGCGATGCTTTGTCATGGGTGCACAGTCTACTGCTCTCATCAGTGCCGCTTGCTAGCTGACTTTTTTCTTACCAATGACTTCTTCCATCCCGTCGTTCTCATCAGGTACCTGGAGGCCAAACTGGAGATTACCACTCCTCTGCTGGATCTTATCAAAGAGAAGAAGCTTTTCCCACCAGATGAGGTACAGACGAATGATTTGCTCAGGGTTTGTAACAGTCTTGGAATGTAACAAGTTCCGTGTATGAACCCTTGCATGTGCTAAATTTTTGTAAGAATATGCCGATAACCCTAAGGCAATGATGCCTGTGCCGGCCAAGGGGGTGGCTCCAGGCCAAACGTAGAGCAAAGAGTTCAGCCGTCTGAAGACGTCAGAAAACGATGCGTGTTATCCTTTGGGATGGTTGTGTAGGCAGTGGCAGCACATTCATCAGCTTACCTGTCAATATAAAGCATACACACCCAGTGATATCACATTGTCAGGTTTTATGAGCAGTTTGCAAATTTGATCACTGTCTGTGGTTCCTTCCGGAGTGCTGAGTTTCTGCCAACAAAGTACATGTACGTACAGCGAAGTACCGGTATCCTCTCTTCACACTAGCACTTGGCTTATTGTGTGTGATGATCACACAGTGCATGTGCCAAATTTTAGTTTAGAGGCTGTTGATCATATGCCCGTCACATATGGTATAGCACCCCTGCGTCCTGTGTGTGTGTGCATGTACATGTATGTGTGTATGTGTATATAGTTGGCAATGCTGTACAGTGTTTTAGACAGCCACCGTGACGACCCGACACCATGCAGAGCGGTCAACGAACAGCTCGTGACCACAGTGCTTCGCCACTGCCAGGACAAGCACGTCGACCCGTTTCTCCGCTGCCTGGAGTCTCACCAGAAGGAGGTATATCACAGTATGTAGTTCTACTTTCATTCTTGGGGCGTCTGGGCTTACTGGCTTACTGCGCCGGCTGTCTTCGAGACACTGACTGTGGGGTGACCATGCAAATTTCATGTTGTTTATTGAATGCGTGTACGCAAGTTTAATGGCCCCCGGATCCACACACTCAGCCATGTGTACACATAGCCTTGCGCAACTTGGATATGAAATACTCGTACTGTGGTATAGTGACTGATTCATGCTACTGTATTTTGACTTTGTGATGTCAGTTGTCATTCGTTTTATCATGTGTAGCCCTCTCTGCAACTCCGTGCAATTATGCCCGCTCATTCCGGCCTCCACTACTTTCACTCTATTCATCGTAATTATGTTAAGCAATGGACACCAATGCACACATGGCTATCCAACAATCGTGATATCAATTATTGCAGTTTCACGTGCCTGGAACATTTCCAGCAGCTTAGTGTGGGAGAATTGAGCTTGCAACGTGCATTTGTTCTCTACTATGCAGATTCCGCTCAGGATTCTTGGAGGGAAAACCTTGAAGGAGATCACATCAGGTATGCTACAGATACAGCATGATGAGGAGTAGATTGTATGAAGTTGGGGGCAGATTCAAGAGAGGAAATACCTCCCAGTGATAGCGTAATCATCTGCGGAACAAAAGCAGAGCACGTTTTGTTTTCTGTTTGAGCTACCGACAAGCGCCCAATCCTCTGGGTATGTTCTTTAAACCCGGCTTTGGGCGCTTGGGAAGAATTTGAAGTGCATCTATGTGCAGTACCAGTATAAAGCAAAGTTGGTGCATGCAGTTACCATGGTTACCTGCGATTCAAGTTATATACTTTTAGTGTTGACACTTCTAGCCGCGTAAACCATGAGTCCATGACTAAGGAGATCCGGTTCTAAAGCGACCACTGGACTGCAGTTGGCAGAACAATTTTTTGTTGGAATATTTTCTGGGGTAATGGATACTAATTATTATAATTGTTTGTCTTATTTCGAAACGCTTGTCTTCTGGTGGTGATAGGAGTTCTAAGTCAAGACGAATCATATCTTCAACACGTCTTGGTTATAATGTGGCATGTTGACATGATTTATCCATGTTCCAGGGTCCCTATCGGGTGGCATAGTACCTGGCACAATGTCGGAAACAATGGACGACCTTGACAGCAGTGGCGGCAGTGTAAGCCTGTCGCATTCTGGCTCGCTGTCCATCGGTAGTGCTGGTGCTGCTAAAGACGTTGGAGCAGCTGTGGATGCGTCACAGCCGTCCTCACCTATCGGTGTGGACTATGGTGAGCCGGCAGTCAGAATACAAAGCATGGTTACATTGAACTAAGGAAGTTAAACGAACAGCCAACTCTATGCATTCCGCGGTGATGAGGTAAAGGTTACAAGTTTCACCATCATCAGGTTGTGATGTGACAGGGATAGTATAGGTCTTGATGCTTATCAAACACTGTTAGATCTCTGTGACGGTTATCAGCTTGTGTGCCATTGAGCTGTGGGGTATACTTTTGGTAAGGCTGTGTGCCGTTCTAAACTGCTTTGATTGCTTTCCTCTAATTGTAGATGAGTTCCCGGAACCGGATATAGCATTTGAGGAATTATTCCCGGACTTGGAGGAGCCAATGCCGCCCGATGATGCTGAAGAAGGTAATGTGAACTGCTAAATCTGTATATTGGAGGCAGGTATATGGGTTGTGTGGATATTTGGCCACTTTGAGTTACAAATTTGTTTCCATGACATTCCTAGGCTGCATATCCTGCTTTTCCATGGACGACGTTTGATTTTGTTAGCTCTGTTTCCGTTCCTCTTGGTTCAGAGTGGCCCAAGAAGTACGACATCGGACCCGGTGGTGGAACATTTCGGGAATGTGATGGCGCCGTTAGTGTGTCTATCCCGCGCGATGCACTGGATACTGTCCACAAGGTCTCCGTCATGGAGGCTCCGATCGAGGAGCACCACAAGACACCTGATGGCGATGTGTATCTAGGAAAGGTTGGGAACCGTCGGCTCATGTTTCCCTTGGCCAACCTCTCCCTCTGTAGTGTAATATGTGTCCTCTCTTCCATCTTTTCATACTCTGCCTGTTGCTTAAATTATGCCAAGCACCCGCATTGCAAAAAATAAGTAGCTACCTCCCCTCACCCCCCCCCCCCCCCCCCCCCCCTCCAATATCGGTCTGACTAGACTATAATTGAGCCGTCAGATGCGAAAACCGACCTTATGGGAAACACTGCACAGTGCAGAAAAATGCACTTGAAAGTTGGCGAGTTTACGCACTGGTGCGCCTGGACAACCAAGCTACAAACCTTCGTATTTCAGTCAAATATCGGTCTTTCGGGACAATCCAAGTATGTAAATCGTAGAGAAAACTCCAAGGAATCCAATGCAGCAAGCGCGATCGCGGCACGATGCTGCGTTCCCCAGCTGCGAAGCCTGCAAGATACGTCACGGCACTTTGCAGTTCTACGTGCAAATCAAACAATCCAGTCCCGGGGTTTCCCCCTTTTCAAGCGACCTACGATCTCGGCAACAGGCTCAGACGTCTTGGAAGCTCTCAGTGCATCTTCACGAAAAAAAATGGGCGTCCTGGGATAATGGAGATGGAAATGGCGAACGATTTTCGTGTGACGGCGCAAGTCCAGCGCTGAAGCGATGTCTGCAGCTTGTTGCGCTGGTGCTGTGCTTTATTTGCTATCGGATTTGGGCCCAACGGGTTGCTCGTCGCCAGAGCTTTCCAGAAAGCCCACGTTTGTTGAAATCGGTCAAAGGAAACAGGAAATATTCTACAAAGTAGGTGAAACAATTGTTGGTATTGCACCCAAAATTGAGATGCAATTTGAAACGGTCTCCTATTGTAGAGGCTATAACTTTACTTCCCTTGGTCCAAATCAACTCTAGTTTTTTGCATACGACTCCTGATGCTCCTGGCTTTCAGATAGTATCACTAACACAAATATGATTTTTTTCCCATAAGGTCTGTTTTCGCATCTGACGGCTCAATTATGATACTTGAAGGACTGCTGCAGCACCTGGTGGAGTGCAGTGGAGTTGCAAAACAGGAACTTGGAATTTTTTATGCGATCAAACTGATGAAAATTTCCTATTCATCCATTTTTCGTGTCTCTGGTGTCCTTTTTGAATTTTCCTCATTCTGGGACAGATTCACACATGAGGCACCACTGCATTGCCTTTGGATAATGGATAATGTGTTTGCAAACATCGTGGATGGCAATACGGATCAATTGTTTTCCTTCTTCCTCTTTACTTTTTGATTCAATCAAATTGGATGATTACATGTTGTCATTTGACCGCTTCACTTGTCTAGGCTCTGTGGTTTGGCGAGCACGGCCTAACGTTCAAGCGTCCCGTGAGAGTGGAAGTACAGGATGCCAAACTCAAGCCCGGTGATAAGGTGAGAATAAAGAATTCAAACAAGTTCGAAAAGGTGAGACGAATGGGCACGATAATCCCGCCTGGGATTGCAAAAGGGCTGCCTTCTTCATACTGTTATCTTGTAAACAGTAAAGGAGAGAGAGAGGAGCAGTCGTATGCTCCTCAGGAGCAAGTGTGCATGCTCCAATGCGAAGTGCAGACAAGAGTCATAATAATTATTACCGTATGTTGATACACACAGAGCAACTGCATGCTTTCACAATTGCTTGGCAGCCAGTAGGTCTATACACGCAAACAGGTCTGAGCGTAAGGCGAGTGGGAGGTGAATGGAGGTGAGGAAAACACTGGAGTTACAGTTCTCTGTTAGGTCTTGCAGTTGAAAGGCGGTTGCTCACTCTCATGTATGGTTTATGTAGAGGCCGGGATTGCTCAATCCTAGCCATTCTCTGGTAATGGGTACAATTCTAATCGCTTTAGGGCACGTTCGAATTGTCACTCTTTGACTTTTCGAGGAGTTTCATTTTTCTGAAGAGGTGGCCTTATCTCTTCAGAAAAACGAAGCTCCTCGAAACTCCTCGAAACTCCACAACCTCACCCGATGGGAGAGGTGGATTAGTTTCGAAGAGTTTGGAATAGCTACGTCACGTAGTACGTGGAGATGGTTGATCTGATCGGACGTCATCATCGCCATGATAATTCCACTGAAAAACTCAAAATGATAGAAACCGTTCTAATGGGACACCTCAACTAATCTCTTTATAAAATTTATTTGAACAGTTGATGAAGACAATTCGAACGCGGCCTAAGTAAGGAGATAGCTTCCTCTTCCATCGTGTACCTACTGCCGGGACCAATGGTTCTGTATGAAAATACTGCACTAGCGAAGTCATCAACAGAGCATTTACTGCAGCTACGAAACACCCCTGCAAACTACGCCCGCATACCATCAACTCATTGAAGAGCAATATTTTGGAGTTTGGCTCAGCATGATATTGGCTGCAGATGGAAGCCTAATCAATTTTATAGATTTTAGCTTTAGGCAAATGGGCCTTATATTCGAAACACCGGTGCTTTCCTAGCTATTTTAGATGCAAAATGACTCACCCACTACGCCATGCCATAAAGTCAAAGTCCACACAGAAATTTCAGTCTAAATCCACTTGTTCACTCTTCCTGCTGGGCTGTAAGTTTGTTAGTATACCGTAGTACTTATTCCTTCTTTTTTTACCAAATACATACATCAAATGTCATTTCATTTATGAAGCCCATGGCTTTATAACTGAGACTGGCTTTATAATCGAGTATACCTCCATGGCTTTAAAGGTGCGGACATACAGTAAGAAAACTAGTATGTCAAAATGCTGCCTTTCTATCTGGTTTTCAGCTTCTTGCTTTCATCACTCCCCAATCACTCTCTTGTGTGTGCACATGCACTATGCCTCAGGTGCATCTCTTCGTGAGCGATAAGGACGAAGACCAGTTGCCAGAATTTCTGGACATAACCGAGTCCGGCAATATTTGTGTGGATTACGACAAGAAAACAATCTCATTTCAAGTGGACCACTTCAGCTACTTCTGTAAGTAACTACAGAACTTCTGGAGGAACTTTTGCAATCAGACGCAATCTTCGTTCTCAATTCGCCGCACATCCATACAGCTTCAAACAAAGCTCTCTAAAACGAAATAATTAGGTGATAAACTGTAGTGCAGAGCTGGCTCCGTTTCTCGCAGTTAGAGCGCTCTGAATTGGTCGCTTTCAGCTGACTTAAAAAAAACTCTTTGCGTTCACTAGCCTTCAGGTTCATTGTCATCAGTTCGGCCGGTCACTCTGAGCATTGCTGACGAGACCTAACTATGGAGTGTGGCTATGAAGCCCACGGCACCGCGTTTTATGAGCCACGTCGTCAATGAGTCTGGCTGCACACCAAGTCCCGGGTAGCAGCACAATGCATTCGGGACGTGCTCTTCTCTCATCATCCCCAGACCTCGTTTCTGACACTATACACGTTAATAATGTTAAGCTGAAATCGAGTCAGGTGAAATTATATTTTTAGTCTGGCACTTGGAGAGCGATCGACCTGCCCAGGTAGGGCACAATCAGCATTCTAGCAAAGGCACTCGGTGCACTAGACGATAGGCTCTCTCCAGCAAGAAGACAGTGGGCCATAGGTATGAATACTTCTCTATCTTATGCGGGTAGCAGCACAACTTCAATCTGGTCATGTTTAGCAACTGACAGCCGTAGCAAATGAAATCCAGGCCGACGTACACTTGCAGAGTCGCATGCCAGTACTGTTGACTTCGTATATGCAGTAGAAAGAGTGCACATGCTCGGAGAGGGAGGGGGGGGGGGGGGGGGCTGAGTGGCTCTTGACACATATCACTCGTGATATGCGTAGTTGGTGATGAACGTGTAGTTCCATGGTAGCACTTGAAGGGGTTGCAACACTACCACTACAACACTGTGTGAGCCTTTTAGTATTTACCCAAGGCTAAATAAGCTTCAGTCACACTGTGCATCTACTGCTTACACAGCTGCATATAAATGCCGTTTATTTTTATTTATTTATTTATTATTTTACTATTATTATTTTTTTCGGCAATGCAGATGATGATGATGATGATGAAATAAGCTTGGAGTTCATGCCTTTGCTATTAGTTCTTGCTTCAGAGGACCATTCGTCCTTGTGTATTTGTCTATCCGTTTCCCAATCACAGTGTGGGCAATCTCCGCTGCTCCTGTTACTGCAATGGCCGTGGGACTTCTGCTGCAGAGTCGAGAAGTTCGTGTTCAAGTCCTGGCAATGCCCGTCGCCAACCCAGAAACTGCAACTGAAGTCCGTCTTCAAATAATCCTCAGTACGTCTGTGGCTCATTGTGAGGGCGTCCTGTGTGACTTTCGTTCAGGTTCAATTTTATTGTGATGGGCTTGTGAAGTTTGGTGACCCGACTCCCTGCTGTAGTACATAGTCGGGACAGGGCATATGAGCAGTGGGCATATGGGCGGTGTTTATTTTTTATTACTATTTTTTTTACACAGTTTAGCCGTAACGTATGATAAGTTGATAACAGGCATTGGACTTGTCCAGTGTTGCTAGTAACGGGAGTTGTTCAATTCCTGTCTCATGTTCTATTGGTATCTTCTATCCAGAACCGCCTGGCTTTGAGAGCAAGGGAACCCGAGCGTCTGCTGATTATCATCCAGTGAGTGAGTCGCGGCTGCACAAGACCCTGCAGCTGGCGCCGTTTGAACGGTACGTCCACATGACACTTGTATCTGCCACTGATGAGCACGATGAACGGGAACTTGACTGGACGCTAACGCCGGATGCTGCTGAAAAGCTAGATGAGGGTCTCCAGTGTCCAGATAATGTCAGACCGGTTATTTTGCAGAAGAAATCGCCAGTGGCATCGGACCATGTCGCTTTTCCATTCGAAGCTGCACTGGAGTGCCACGGTACCTGGATTACCAAGAAAGTATATGTGTACTTCGTGATCGATCCAGCAGAGCTGCTCAAGGCGAAGAGTGGGCTCGACCGCTCCCAACTCGCTGCTGCTGAGCTGCCGAAGCCGCTGCCACCCCCACCACAGTGTCCTGCTGACCATTCCAAGGAAGCACGCAGTACGATGATGAGCAAAGCTCGCAAAACGGCATTGGTAAAAACGCTGGTGGCTCTGATGAATCACACCCATAGATCGAGTTTTGATGTTCTGGTTCCTCAGCTGCTCCGATGCCAGCTGTTTGCTCACCACTCCGATGATGATTCTATGTTGAGCGGTGCCAGCGGGGGTACTGCGCAGAACAAGATGAGGCACTTGGTCGACCTGGTCAGCAGAAAATGGAACTCGGCGTTTGATTGCTTTTGCCATGCCCTGGAGTGTGGGCTGCATCTCCCGCACCTTGCTTGCGCGCTGCGAAAGGAGGAAAAGGCAGCACTGGAGAGTTCGACAAGCAGTGGAGATTGACTCTAGCCGTGTGCACGGATAGCAAGTCAGCTTACTGGGACAGTGACTTCACTTTGTGACATCTGCCAATGACATACTTATAACAGAATCTGGACCACCACCTGTGGCTGTGATGCAGCCTTGTCTTTGTATTGGTGCTTTCCTTGATCCGCAATCCCTGCTCCTGGCGGTCACTTGATGATCCATATCAACTTGATAGATTCTTTGATGTACCACTGGAGGATTTTCTTACAGTAGTAGGCTCTATGCTGATGCTAATGCTATGTCAATCAGTAGGTACCTGCTGACTACAAACTCAAAGTGGTGTAAACCTGTCGACTCCATCGTAATAATTTTATAATAATATTACGTTGATTCTTGCGAGTGACATTGTCATTCTAATTTATTTAAAAAGTCAGTGATCAATACGGAATGCATACTTTGTTTAAAGGTATATAGATCCTTGTGTGCTAGTCACACATTTTCTTAACACTGCTGACGCCAGCCAGTGCTTTCCTATCATCTTCAGAGTCACCACCATCACGCTCAGTATTCTGAATTTTCGAGCACCTTCTGAGCAACTTCCAACGCCCGCCAGTGACAGAGTTGGCTGTGCTCTGAACAATGTGATTCCGTGCGTGACCGTATCAGTGTACATTAATTTTATAAAGGACAGGATCGATTACGTCGCATGCGGCCGGGCCTGTTTGCCAGAAGGGAAAGTTTGATCTTCGAAGACTTTCTTCAATAGTCGGAGGCTCAACGGCAGCCAATTAATCATCTCTCCAACATCTTAACAACCACGGTCTTCCACATGCACTGCAGTTGCAACTGCAAGACATTGGTTGCAAGACACAGACAGACATTGGTTATGAAGGTGTTGGACTATGCAGGGGAGATGATTGATCTTGAAGATTGAGAGTATGTACCGGTGCTAACTTAGTACTCAGCTATGCACTGCAGTCAATACAGAGGGTATGTACAGAGGGTATGTAGGGCACCATCCTGGACTATGCGGGCAATTGCGCAAGGGCCTAGATCTAGGGTACGTACAGCACTATTATTTTAAATATTACACTAAAAAAACCTTTTTTTAGTACTAGGTCTAGTACAGTAGCTGGCTATGCCTAGCGCCTATGCCATGCATACTCAACCATACTTTTTATGCCAGGCTATGGACTGTCGATGTCTGTCACTGTGGTCGATGCGCTAGGCCTATGGCTATGCTAGCCTACACTGGCTACAGCCAGTACAGGCTAACCGGTATGAGTACTACACTCAACAGCCGGCTAGGAAGTAGGGGTCTTACTATTATACTAAGTCTTGTTGCATGCAGTCACAACAAGAAGTGTTACTTGTTCGTGTGGCCATCGATCATCATGGTGTAAATATTCGTAGACTACGCGTAGATCTACAATCATGTCCGCCCCTCTAACAGTCCACTCTGGAGTGCCCCAGGGCTCTATCTTGGGGCCTCTATTGTTCATCGTATACGTTAATGATTTGGCAGGTTTGGATCATACCTCACTCTACGCGGACGATACAGCGCTCCATATAACCAAGCCAGGATTATTACAAGCCTGCGACTCGCTACAGTATCACATTAATCAAGTTGTGCGCTGGATGTCGAAGTGGAAACTCCGCCCCAATGTGTCGAAAACGGCAATCCTTTGTATCCCCCCACGACCCTCCAGTGACCTGACCCTCTTTACGACTCGGCTTTTTACTTTCCCTGATGATCCCATTGCTATCAACATTGTTAAAAATCACAAACACCTTGGTATATTTCTTGATGAACACTTGTCCTGGGATTCGCACGTAACCTATATTGAAAAGCGAGTTTGCTCCACGATAGGCTGCATTTCTCCTCACATCTCCCATCTACAACATGGTTGTCGAATACAAATTTATCACTCTTATGTTCTTCCTTTGTTTGATTACTGCTCTCTCGTTTGGTCCTCCGGTCTATCCTCCGCTCTTATGCATCGGTTAGAAGTCACCCACCGTAAATTACTTCGATTAATATTTCGCATGACCCCTCTGACCTCCTCTCAGACGCTATACATTTTGGCTTCCTCTTCCCCTCTCTCAGAACGCTTTCCCTACTCGGCATGCAAATTCATTCACCGTATTAAGCTTCAACTTGCTCCTCCTCATGCACTTGCGCATTTAAGCTGGTTCAATAATAGCTCGCGTACTAGATGTTCTCTCCGTTTCCCACTTGCCAGATCATCGATCCTTTTAAAATCCCCTCTGTTCAAGTCCTATTCTCATTGGTCTCGGCTTCCGCAGGAGGTAAAGTCTCGTGACACCTTCGCTGCATTTTGTTCCATTCTGCCCGCGCCTAAGTCGAATTGAATTGAGTTCGTTGTTTTCCATTGCTAGCCTAATCTTCATACTGCTCTCTCCAGGTTCCTATAGTACTTCTTTTGTTTTGTTTTCCTTTCTCTTTTTTTCTCCTTCTTTTTCTCAGTTAAAATCGCCCGCATCACATGCTTATTGGCACTATGTCATCGTGATTGTGGAATAATAATGTTACGAAGTCTGAAGAAAATGTTGAACGGCCTCTGCTGGGATGACGACTACACCATAGCTCAGTGGTTAGAGCATCGCTGGCTACAAGCGAGGGTCCCTGGTTCGAGTCCTGGTGGTGACAGTCAATTTTTTCTTCGGACTTTTCCCGTTTGTCTCTTTCCCTCAAACCAGTCAATAATAATAATAATATAATATTTTTCCTAACGATGTGAACGGTTGCACTTTCTGAGCTCTGATGAGCAGAGCTTCCTTAGCGTTGCTCAATGGCTCGTCCGCTCAGAAAATTGAACGTTTTGTTCATTGTAATACTTATTTCAATAATGGATGGAAATGGGGGCCAGGGGGCCCGGAGAAAGCGCTGGTCGGAGGAGGAAGTGAGAGTGTTGGCTGAGTGCTACGCAATTGCGACGCCTGGAGGTGTCCAGTCTCGTGGGTACATGCGACGGATGCACGATGCTTGGTGTGGCAGGGGCCTGGAGAGACAGGTAAGCGAGGTAAATTTGGCCAACCAGTTGCGAGAAATTCGGAAGAGCGGACGACTCTCCTCCGCCGATGTCGAGGCCATTCGTCAGCAGTGCACGGCAGAAGAACCAGCAAGGACGGAGACCAGTCCAGAGGCGTCTCGGGATGTGCTATGTGAGGAAGCCATGGTGACTGGAGCGCTAGGCGACCGTGGCCTGGTGGGGTGCTGCGGTGGTGCTGGTGCTACTAGTACTACTACTACTAGTACTAGTGCTACTAGTACTACAGCTAGTACAGTTGCTGCTGCTGCTGGTGGTGGTGCGACTACTGCTGCTGACATGACACCGCATGGCCAGGCTGTGTGCGCTTGTGCATGTGGAAGCAGTTCACCCCACGGTACGTGTACATGTGAGTTACCTAGTACTAGTGATGACAGTGATGATGTGGCGTGTGGTGTTGAACCCAATCTACCGACTGTAGAAAACGCCACCAACACTGATGCTGAGCAGCACAACCTGGAAGATGAGCTGCTGCCCAAGGAGATTAGTGATGTAACGGAGGAGTTAGAGAAGAGGTATCGTGCAGAGGTCGTGGCCGACATGGCACAGCGACAATGCCTCCCTAATCCAACAAAAAAGCATGTACAAAATAAATTATTATACAGTGTTACCGCCATGGTCAACTCTCAGCTCAGGCTTGTGTGTCGCCGGCTATTTCCTGATGGTGAGGCGTCGCTCCATGAGATCAATTGCCTCGTGTATGCTGGTGCTTGCGTTTGCATATCGACTATCCAAGGCAGTCAGAATCATCCGACTGGCAATGCCAAGCAAAACGGAAGTGACAAGGACCATCCGCCGCAGTGGCAGATCCGATTGACAAAGGAAATCGATCAACTCCGCTCGGATGTTTCCCGACTCACCAGCACAGTGGCGGATCCAGGGGGGGGCCCAGGGGGCCTGGGCCCCCCCTTTGAAAATTTCGACCTTGGTCTAGGATAACAGTAGACTGTAGAATGAGCGCTCGAAATGACTTGGCGTATCAAGTGGGTCACGCGTGCTGGGTATTTTTATACGTGTCCGGGGTCACGCACTAGCATTGTAGTCAGCGCGCTGTGTACAACTACTGTACGCACTGCGACCTGTAGACACGGCCGCACTTCAAACATGTGAAAAACGTGCCAAAAATGCAGGGCCTGGTACTTTTTTTTATTATGCATAGCGCAGTGATCGCGTTGGGCTGAAGTCCTGTATGGTGCACGGTGCTGTCGACTTCGTCCTTCCTTTTTTCTTTTCCACTTGTCAGAAACTAAACGCTCTCTAGCTAGCTCTCTACTTCGCTTGTAGCCAACGGGTTACCTTCAGATATGCGATGAAGAGGAAAGCGTCTGACATCAGGTCGTTCTTCAGTGGACCGGTACTGGCGGTAGATAAGAGAGCTCGCGTTGAAGAGCCGTCCAAAGGTCCGTCGCGGCCGCTGTCGATCGAGTGGAAATGTTCCAGTGCAGTTTGAAAATGTCGTGAGAATGGAATAAAACTAGGGACCGGCGGATTCTGCTCGAAAAGGTGGCATATTCTGCTCGAAAAGCAGTGAAATTGGCAGAACCATACAAACCTTATGGCGGGCAATTCCTCGAATTCTGCTCCATTTTTTTATCCACATACCAAACATGCATGAAACCAGAAAAAGTACCGAATTCTGCCAATTTTTCTGCCGGCAGAATCCGCCGGACCCTAAAATACAACAGCTCTTCACAACTTCAGGACTTTGTTGTTGTTGTATTAATTTTTGTTGTTTTGTTTTGGGGGGGGGGGGCGGCGGATACCTTGGGCCCCCTCTTCGGCCAAGTCCTGGATCCGCCACTGCAGCATGCTACGATATCCATCGGAGAAACATCATGACTTCTGGAGGAGATATGAAGTTGAAGTCGGAAACACAGACGAGTTGGAAATGAAGCTACAGGGAAAGAAAGATCGACTTCTTGCGCTAGCAGCCAGGATGCGTCGATATCGAGAAAATGAAAAGGCCAAAAAAGCCAACAAAATGTTCCAAATGAATGAGCGTGCTTTCTACCGGACGCTTCGGGAGCCTGCACACTCTGTTAGTGGTGCTTCAAATCGATTGGAGACGCCGCAATTTCCAGAGGCGGGTGAAGCCACCGAATTCTGGAGTGATCTTCTGTCTACACCTGCGCCGTTCACCGCTGGTGAGTGGTATGTAAGGCAAGCAGAATATTATGAAGAACACGTCCCTGTGCAGAGTAGCGCAGTTATCACCCAGGACATCCTGGCTGACTGCCTGCGCAAACTAGCCTTGTGGAGGGCTCCGGGCCATGACAAGTTGCATGGGTACTGGTGGAAGAGGCTGACAAGCCTGCACTCTTACCTTCGGAGAGCCTTCCAGAGGGTGATAGATGGCCACAGTGACATTCCGGGATGGTTGACGTCTGGCGCTACTACTCTCCTTCCTAAGACTTCTCCACCTTCGGCAATGCCCACAGATTATAGACCAATTACGTGTCTTCCGATACAGTACAAGCTCTTTACCGCCGCCATATCGAAGATTATGTGGCAGCACATCAATCAACATGAAATACTTGCAACGGAGCAGCGCGGTTGTGCAGCAGCTGGTCTTGGTTGCAAGGAGCACCTGATGGTGGATAAGATGATTCTGGAGGATGCCCATACGAAAGGGCGAAATCTGGTCATGGCATACCTGGACTTCAAAAAGGCATTTGATAGTGTGTCGCATGAATGGATTCTACATGCTTTGACGATGTATCGATTCCACCCGTCTTTGGTCACAACTATTGCTCGTAGCATGCAGAACTGGAGAACGACAATGCACATATGCGACCAGGGAAGATGCAGGGTCACTACCGGCAACATTTCAATAAGAAGAGGCATATTTCAAGGTGACACATTATCCCCGTTACTGTTTTGCCTGGCGCTAAACCCAATCAGTTTTGAGCTCAACCGATTGCCTTTGGGATACAGAGTCAGCTGCAGAGACGCCGAGTTGTCTATCAATCACTCTTGGTACATGGACGACATTAAACTCTATGGGAAAACTACAAAGGATGTGACTACCCTCGTGTCTACCGTGTGTGGCGTTGGTGATGACATCGGCATGAATCTCAACCCGGCTAAGTGTGCCGTGCTGCACGTCAGGAGAGGAAAACCAGATGAAGGATGCTCTATCCAGGTTGGCGATGAGACCATTGCAGAGTCGCTACGACTCAATGAAACATACAAGTACCTTGGAGTAGTGCAAGCAGCCATGATACCTCACCCGCAGCTCAAGACGCAACTCACTGCAGAATACAAAAAGAGATTGTATTTGCTTCTTAACAGTGGATTGAATGCGCGAAACATGATCAAGGCCATCAATACGTATGCTCTGCCGGTTATGACATATAGTTATGGAATCGTAAATTGGACCGAGGCTGAAATCAAGACCACAGATCGAGTGACAAGATCAGCCTTGACTGCGTCTGGATTTCACCACCCCAAAGCCTCAGTCAACAGGCTCTACATGAAGAGGGGAGATGGAGGCCGGGGCTTGGTCTCTTGTGAGGATATGCACGGCCGGAGCATGTGTGGCCTGGCCCGCTACATGAGTACCAGCCCAATAGACAGAATAAGCCTGCTTTATCAGTATCATCAACAAAAACCTACAACAAAAAGCCACTCAATAACTGCAAAGGCTGCTAAGTTCCTGTCGAGTTTGGATCTGCCAGCAGCTGGACCAGCTTTACCCAATAAGCATACCATTAAACAAGCGTGCGCTGAGCGAAAATCCAAAACACTTTCCACTATGCCGCTGCATGGGAGATATTGGAGCCGATTGGAGGAGAATCGCCTAGATAAGGAGCTTACCTTCATGTGGTTGAAATCAAGGACACTGAAACCTTCAACTGAAGGCATGATTATGGCAGCACAAGACCAATCCCTCAAAACGAAAAATTACCAATACGCCATAATGAAGTCAATTGCTCGAACTGATGCCAATTGCAGGCTTTGCAAGGGCAGCTTAGAAACAATTGACCACATTGTCAGTGCCTGCCCAGTTCTTGCTCGGACCAGTTACATTGAACGACATAACCGGATAGTAAAGTATGTGCACTTCGAAATGTGTAAAGCACGAGATCTACCTACTGGTGCTTCACGATTCGACCACCAGCTCAAGGCATTGGTCAAGAGTGATCAGTATCGCCTCTATTGGGAGTATTCGGTCCCAACTGACCTGAAACTATCAGCAAACAGGCCCGATCTGCTCCTTGTTGATGACAAGGAGCGCATCGCCTACATTATAGACATCAGCGTTCCTGGTGAGAACAACATCAATAAGAAAATGGCTGAAAAGCGCTCGAAATATTATGATTTGAAGCGGGAGATTTCGAGGATTTGGTCCCTCAACCAGGTTGACGTGGTCCCTGTGGTTGTCGGTGCCCTGGGAGGCTTGGTGGGGGAGACTCCTCAATGCCTTCGGACTGTGCAGGGAGGAGACCTGGCTATTGTGCAACAGGAGGCTATACAAGGTTCGATTAAAATACTGAGAACTATCCTTAACATGTAGATGCACCTCTGCTGCGTTTGCATGTTCAATAACTAAGAGACTTGAATAACGACTGATAAAGACTGATATTTCCTTTGTTACTACTCCCTTCATTGGTTGATGTATTTTGCCTGTCGCTGCAAATTCTTTATTATTGTTTTGATGTTGGAGTTCGGATTGAGTTTCTTTCCTTTCTTCCTCTTCCTTCAACTAGTTCTTGTCCCTTTGGTTTTTAGGTTTTATTTATTTATTTATTTTTGTTTTTGTTTTTTCACTTTCTTTTTTGCTGTCCCACCCATGGAAATATTTCCCGGTGGGTCTGGCTTATCGCCTTCGAAAGAAGTGAATAAAGGAGAAATAATAATAATAATTTTTTAAAAGAGGTCGGAGGCGGATAATACTTTAAAACGAAGGTAAGTTATGGGTCGCAAATATCCACGCAAACACACATCCAGTCATAATAAGGCTCAAGCTGGAAAGACTAAAACTTATATATGCTCACTATGTTGTTGTCACTATTATTATCTTCCTTCGAGTGTTGTGTCGTGCTAAACTTGATAATTTTCCACCTTGTCACGAGTGTTGTTATCTAATTATCTTTACGCTATATAAGTTTTAGTCTTTCCAGCTTGAGCCATTCCCTGTATAATCCTTGATGAGAAGGGACCGAAAACGTTCGGATACTTATGACAAGTGCCTTATTATGACTGGATGTGTGTTTGCGTGGATATTTGCGACCCATAACTTACCTTCGTTTTAAAATAATAATAATAATAATAATAATAAACAGGCCCTCAATGACAACCGCCGCTGTGAACTTCGAGCGATGCCTCTTCATGGTCGCTATTGGGCGCGTGTTGATGGCATCCTGGACATGCAGCTCTCGTTTTCCTGTTTCAGATCCCAGACAATGCGTCCTGAAACGGAAGGCTTTCTCATTGCTTGCCAGGATCAGGTGATTGCCACGAGAAACAATATGCGCCATATCCACAAGAGGCATGATGTCGTGGACCTCTGTCGTGTATGTGGTGCACCCGGAGAAAATATGGACCACATCATCGCCTGCTGTCCAGCCCTGGCACGGACTGCATACATTGCCCGGCATAACTTTGTGGTCCAGGCCCTGCATCGTGCGCTGTGTAAGCAGCATGGATTACCCAGCAGTAAGCAGCTGGTGCAGGTCACAAGTTCTGCCAGTTGCAAGCTGATGTGGGAGATTTCCATTCCCACAGATCGAGTAATAAAAGCGAACAGACCAGACCTGGTGCTGGTTCTGGATGATCGGGCACTGCTCTTGGACGTCAGTGTCCCATTGGACCACAGGGTCAATGAGAAGGTGCAGGAGAAGATCAGCAAATACCTGCCCTTGGCAGCAGAGCTGAGGAGGATCTGGAACAAAAAGATAACTATTGTTCCAGTTATCATTGGTGCTCTGGGTGGTGTGTCAGGAACGAGCCGCAGCCACATCTTAAGCCTTGGGCTCCACGCGTCCGTGATCCAGCGGCTGCAGCAATGTGCTATTCTGGGCACCCTGAGAATTGTGCGGTCGGTGACTGGTCATGGATGGGAGAGTGGCATGGTCGGAACGGTCGGTTGACCTTATGTTAGCCTGCCCGTAATGTCTCGATGTGTCTCGGTCTGTGTGTTTTATGATTGTGGTGCATCATGTGCTGTGTGACGAGCCGAGAGGCGTGAATTTCTGCCATATGCCCCCAGTCATGTATTGTCTTTCTCTGCATATGCCGTTTTATCTCGTCTGAGTTTGTCTTGCTTGGAGTGTCCCATGTGCAGCATGCTTGGTGTTTACTACTTGAGTAGTTCTGTTATACATGACTGTGATTTTATGTGAGTATCGAAGTTGGTATACTTGAATTTTTCTCTCATGAAGTTTATCAAAATTTTGTTCAGGATTTTCTTTTATCTTCATTGATTGGTGCAGGTGCTTCACCCTTGGGTCATATGGATCCCGGTGCTGTGCTTCATGCCTCCTTTCAAGCTTTCTTTTTCTGCTTTGGGAGTGAATAAAGTCGTCATAATAATAATAATAATGATAATAATGATTATCCACACGGAAACTGATTTTGATACGTGTGTAGTTTTATCAAGCTTTTCGGAACGCCATCACGGCTTTTTCACGTGCACGCTCCTTTAGAAAGAAAGCAGCAATGCAGGGCCATGCCAAACTCTACTCGAGTAGAGTTTCGACTTTCGTATGGCCGTGCATTGCGTGTAGTATCCGGTTCCATTATCAGTCTGAACTGGACTGGCCGAGGTTCTGGTCGTTGCAAATGCAAGGCCCCCGCATCACTCGCTAATGCCGGACTTGTAAAGAGTCACCCGCTCGCCTGTAGTCTACATTGAGGACCCCGGATCATTATCATAGTCGGACACTATTATTCACGTGCGGAGGTCAGTATACCTTTCATAATTGAAATAATTGTGGATAAAATTAAAAAGAGGATTGGCACTGCCCTACTTGCCTTGTTTGTTGCCGTCCCCGTAGATCGACGTCCCATTACGTATTGGCCTAACCCCGATCATTGGCAAATCTACTACAAATACCGGTACATGCAGTAGTAGAAAGCTAAGCGTCCTCGTGTGGCGTTACCCGGGCGAATATGTAGCTAAGTGCCCTCAAAGACAAGTACAACCTCCATTTGAAGTGTGCAGTGCAGTGCAGGCCTCAGCTGACGCATTTCTCGGTACATACACGTACCTGCTGTACAGGTGCGTGCACAACAGGTATTTGTCTATAGACTAGTGTGAGATAGTTTGCAATCTGCGGGAGAGACGGTCGTCGGGGATTGTTCTGGACAATAGCCTGAACATGTTCGTCCAAAGTTACATTGTATGTGCGATAGACCAAGACTGATGTGAGTGTTATCATATTATGATAAATTGATAATGGATATCCAATCGAACTGAAGCTGCACTTTGATGATCTACAGGAAGCACTCTACATAGCATTGTAATCTTGCTGTGACGCACAGTGCTGCTCTATGAAATACGATTGTGTGCGTCAAGTCAGCGCCCTGCACCGGAGCACAGCCCTGTGCTTTCAGGTCTTTGGCTCCGCAGAGCCCGGCGTTTACTTGGCGCACACGATCGGATTTATCACGGCAATCACAGTAGAGAATAAGCGAAGCGGATATTGAATGGACAATGACTACACCATAGCTTAGTGTAGAGAATCACTGGCAATAGGCGAAGGTCTCGGGTTTGAGTCCCGGTATATATTTATTGCCGTAGTACAGTTGCAGTCTCTGCGTCGCTTATTTGCGATCAGATCTAATTGAGCAGCACTGTACATGTATTTCAAGTAGGTCCAACCAAATTCCGAAGAAAGAAAGAAAATTCCAATGAAGTGAATAACTAGTTATTTAGATTTGGGAGTGTTTTATTTAGCGAGATTTTATTCCATTATACAAGTAGACGCACTCCGACAAATAAGCATGGTACGAGCATGTACAATACGTGATGTATGCTGCATGAATGATGTCATTGTGATGTCATCGGTACGCATACTATTCAGGATGAAATGCGGGGCTCTTTCAAGCAGGGTATTTTACTACTCCCTTCTTTCACTTCGGAGCGGTCAAGCCAATTTGGTGTTTTCGCAGATCTACAATGCAGAGGTTGTGCATAACTAGAATTCTTACGGTTTGGATGTACGGGCCTGAAGTAATGAAAGCTCATATGAACTTCAAATGAACAGATCTCTGTAGACCTTCCGCTGTTACCGGCTTTCTACGTCCAAAGCTACGTAACTTTGCTATGTTGGTTGCAATTAACTCTGAGTCTCATGCCGCTAGGCAATCATCAGACAACCTGAGCGTCCTCCGCTGACATTGAGCACTCTCTGCAGCTCGGGGATCAACGGATTTGTTTTTTTTAAACCTTTGCTATGTGCGACCTTTCTAATGCATCACCCATTTCGTCCCACAGGTCTGTACACTGACATCTTGAATTAACTTCACCATTGACTTTCTGCCGCTCTGGTCTGTTCTGGGAGTTCAGGCTTTATGTACATATACTTTACTGAATCACAGCCGAATATCCTTTCTTCCATGTTCTCTATTTTTCGCCTTCACATGCTTCAGCTTTGTGCCAGTTGACCGGGAAAAACACTGGCTCACTGGACCCGTCGCTATGGCGACAGGACCAGGTCAAGATGGCCGAAAGCCAGCTGCGCAGAGCATGAGGGATGTGGAGAGGCTTATCTACAGAAACAAGAGGTAGTAGCCTGAATTGATGTGTGATACCCCCCCCCCCCCCCCCCCCCCCTGAAGCATCATACGTGATACAGTATAGTCAGTCTGTAGGAATCCGGACAAAACCGTCTCATAATTGTTATACATGTAGAAAAGAAGAAGGACAGAGGAACTGCAAGTTACACTATTACCCACTAACACCACCAGTTACTACACAATCAGCTCATGCGATAACATTGCACGACACTGACCGACGCCGTACTGACGTTCTACAACTAACTGGCTATCAGCTCTAACACATCTTGGATGCGCACTCCAACAGCCTTCCAACTTGGAAGGTTCTAAGTTATATGATTGCATAGGAGGGGAAGGTGAGTGCAACCAAGACAAGCACGAGCTGAAAGTCTCAGCTGTGAAGGACGTTGGCGGATGTACATGCATGTCGATGATAATACTGGCAAAACCATTGGACAATGCGTCAAACCACGATTCAAGGATGCAAAACAACATTCCACACAACTTATGTGGCTCAATGATGCGAAGATCAATTAAAGGGGAAGCTATGCGAACAAGAATCATGCAAAACCGAACACCTCAGTAAAACAGCACTCTTCTTTGACGATGACAATTTAGATACGCAAAAAGCAGCGCTGCAGGAGTAACAAGCAGTAGATTCACACGACGATCATTTCGCCGTATAGATAAGGACGGGCCATCAGGTGTGCAAGAATGGACTCGGATGGAGAGCCAAGGATAAATAAATAGAAAAGAACCAGGTCAATGTCGTGCAATGTTATCGCACGAGCTGATTGTTTAGTTACTGGTGGTGTTAGTGGGTATTATAGCGTAACTTATAGTTCCTCTGTCCTTCTTCTTTTCTATAAATTTATCCTTGGCTCTCCATCCGAGTTCATATACATTTAACAACATGTAATAGTGGCCTGATGATTGCATTGAGCAAGAAACTCTGAGTTGCGACAAATCTGTAAACCTCCGTTGTGCCTTTTGTGTGTAACAACATTTTCCTGGTCCCCAAATACATGTACTTGCCTTTTAAAAGTGGGCTCCACTGCAGCAGTGACACTATTAATAGCCACATGCTTTTAAACATAATATTACTGTATAGTGAAAGTATGGATAGACTATGTACAGTATGATTACTAGTACACTCTTGGTAATAGTACTGAGAGAGAATGGTGAAGCTTCCTGCTGCCTCGTACGTAGAAAGTGGTGTAGATCGGATCTGCTCTTTTCCGATCACTCTGCAATCATCGAACACCTTTTCATCGTATGGTCAGTTGTTACGCTTCGGCTTCTAAAATTGACCTAAGCAGGTTTGCAATGGTGCCCAAGCTCGCAAAGGAGCAGTTATATAGTATAGTGCTATGCTACATGGCACACACTGTGACTTGCTAACACTCAGCTAACAGTTACTTTGAAGTACTATGGTGCAAAAGTATTGATAAGACCGATACCATCATCTTGTCGCCGAGGAAACATTTTTTTCACGAAATAGTAGTGTTTGGTTACATTTACTGTATTATATGTACTTCGAAATACTAACGGATATGATTGGTGTGGCATTGAGAATGCAACCCATACCGGCACACGTGCATTGCTGATGCGCTACTTCTGTTCGTTTTGACTGTGGCGTGGATGCGCATTGCTGGTTTTCTCGCCTGTAGGTTTTGGGAAGGCAATCTATGCGTTACAACGGACATGATCGATGATTTCCAGAGAATAGACCTATTCCCCAGCGACAAGGTTTGTATTTAGTTTGCATTTTTTTGTTGTTGAAATAATGATACTGTACTGTGATAATTTCATGAAGTACCAGATTTCAGCGGGTTTCAGCCTACAGATTTTGTGTGCAATTTTGATATTCACCCCGATGCCACGGCCTGACATTGTGAGCCGGCATTCCTGTAGACCAACACCATAAAGTCCCCGTCATTGTGCCGGGGTATAACTGTTAGAAGCGAATAGTCTTGCCGTGAGCTGGTGTCGTGGACACAATGTTTTATTTGAGGGCTTTTGATCTGGAAAGCAGTAGAACTCCTCAAGCATGGGATCATGCTGCTGGATAGTGCACCCAAGACCAGCATTCGAGCGTGTCCTGCAATGTGCGCATTGGCGGTCAGCATTCTGATTGCACCGTATTGTTCTGTTCTCAGCCACCAACTACTTTGCTGTTCTTTCGCATGCAACATGCACACATACACACACACACACACACACACACACACACACACACACACACACACACACACACACACAAACACACACACACACACACACACGTGCACACACACACACAGCTCGCTGAGCTTCAGGCTTTGCAGCACCAGCATGCGGCCGACCCATTGCCATGCCAGCCCGTGAATAAGCTACTGGTAAAAATGGTGTTGCAACTCTATCAAGACCAGCCCGTTACCGTATTCCTCGCGTGCATCCGACGCCATCAGAAAGAGGTCAGTTTCTTTGACCTACGATGTGAGGTAGAAGTGTCTAGTTAACACTTTAAAAAAAGGTTTGGTATAATGACTAGACCAATGGTCAGACAGGGATTGATAAAGCCGGCATGGCATTGCTAAATAGTAAATGCAATCACCACTCAATGTAGTCACGATAGTATACCTATTCGACTTGTTGAATGTGTTGTCAGACTTGCTGCAATGAACACTCTCTTCGGGGTGTGAGCAACACACGTACAGTACTCGCACTGTCATTCGTTTAGTTGATTCGTGCAGCACCGTACAGTACAGGTCGGGGAGAATTTGGTCTTCAGAGTTGCAGTAGTGTAAGTACAGTCAACTTTTTTTGCTAATAACGACTGCGGGTATAACGACAATTCGCGAATAACGACAGAATGTCCATGCCCAGAGCAAAGTCCCATCTACCTGTATACATATAATGAGACTGCGGGTATCAGGACACTTTGCGGGTATCAGGACACTTTGCGGGTATCAGGACACTTTGCGGGTATCAGGACACTTTGCGGGTATCAGGACACTTTGCGGGTATCAGGACACTTTGCGGGTATCAGGACACTTTGCGGGTATCAGGGCACTTTGCGGGTATCAGGGCACTTTTCGGGTATCAGGACACTTTGCGGGTATCAGGACACTTTGCGGGTATCAGGACACTTTGCGGGTATCAGGACACTTTGCGGGTATCAGGACACTTTGCGGGTATCAGGACACTTTGCGGGTATCAGGACACTTTGCGGGTATCAGGACACTTTGCGGGTATCAGGACACTTTGCGGGTATCAGGACACTTTGCGGGTATCAGGACACTTTGCGGGTATCAGGACACTTTGCGGGTATCAGGACACTTTGCGGGTATCAGGACACTTTGCGGGTATCAGGACACCTTGCGGGTATCAGGACACCTTGCGGGTATCAGGACACTTTGCGGGTATCAGGACACTTTGCGAATAAGGACACTGTCCTGTTATATGCAAAGTTGACTGTAGACCAGTTAGGAGTGTGTGTTGCGATACCTATCATGTTGAACCTTTCAACTTCCTTGAGTCGGAATTTGGATGCGAAAGATTTGCCGGGATACAAAGTTGATCAAACGAACTGCCCATACATTTTCCTCAACTGGATATGTAATGCACAGCTCTCACAAAATGGGACAGTTTGTCTGACACGCTCATTGAGGCAACGGAGTCAAAGCAGCGGACATTGAGAGACGACCTACCAAGACAGTTAGGACAACTACTTGCCAAGATAGTTGGGTGTAGAATTCGACTTGAAGGACTCTTGCGTAGTCTCGCTTCTCACTGCATTCCAGTGTGGTCTGTCATTGGAGGGTGGCACGACCAAAGAAGCCAAGAAACAAAGTATGTGCAGGCGTGTTTATCCTGGAACTATTGTTTCTTTCTTCCTCAGTTGTATGTGGCCGTTCATGGAGGACAGGACGTGGGAATGGAAGGTAAGAAGAAGTGACACTACGGCTACACCTAAGTAGTCAGTGTTTCACAACCCTTTTATCATTAGAGGTGGGCTCAGCGGCTGGCTCTGCTGCTGCTCCTGCTGCTGGCAGTGCTGCTAGCATTCCAGAACACCTATTCCTTTCTCACGTGCAGTCTACCATTATTCTTGTCAGCAGCACATGCATGCACATGTATCCGCAGGCTACCAGTGACCAAGCTTATGACGCACTACATATAACTTACACAACAGAGCTGCTTAGTGAAAGCCGGTTGCATGGATATGTTAAGTTAGTGTCAATGTCCTGTTGCATAAGCGCACCGCCCAGAGCATTCCCAGCTAGTGTAACACGGCTTTATGTTATATGGCTCACATGTTGCTGTGCTTGTGGTGTTATCATGTGCCATGGTACATTGTTGTTTGAAGGTACGCTATCAATCAGTGCCGGTAGCAGTACTAGTGGACCAGTGCCAAGACAAGCTCACGGACAGCAGGAGTGCCGCATTGATCGCAGTACGTTGTGACAAGAAAACTACTAGGCCCGGCCATTTCTTTAGCAGCTTTAACCTCCTCTTTCATGCCGCTTTGAAGTATTGTCCATCGCACTGTGTAACATCATGACTATGAAATCACAGTGCAATCACGTGAATCTCCACACGTATTAGAGGTGAAACTGTGGTATTAATTAAAGCATCCAAACTACCCCGAAACCACAGTGACAATGTGATTGCTGTGTAAACCGCTGGTGTAGGTTTGTATCCTGAGGAGGTTGTCCACTTTGAAGACAGCGAGGTCTACCGGGAACGACAAGCGGCTATGGAGGCTGAATCTGACGAGGACATGGATGTTGATGGTGAGCGACTGACTGGTGTACATGCAAGTTTGACCTCGCTGCTAGTCCCTTAGCCAAAACGGTAGATGTTAAAAGTTGTCGAGGAGGGGGGGGGGGGGCTCCACAGCCATCGACCGCAGTGATCACGTTGGCGGCACACACACTAACGCACATTTACCCATATGTGCGAGTTTGAGTGACCCAACTGGACTTCACTGAGCAACACTGTAAAAAGCCTCTTGTATGGGCGAAATCAAGAGTAGATAAACAAGAGTGTGCAGCTCGCGGATGGGTTGGCCCACGGCGGAATTTTTTGTTGACGTAATCTTTTCGACGACGCACGCGCTGCGAGCCTTTTGGAGAGTTTCCCTGGTGCACTTGGCTGGGCTTTATACTACAAGGTCGGTGCCCAGCACGTGCTCTCACACTGCTCTGCGGCAGAATCCGCGTTTCTCTGAAAAAAGGTGACGTCAACAAAAAATTCCGCCGTGGGCGCGGGGTATCTGCAGATTGTGCAGGAGAGATCCGGAGTTGCACACTCTTGTTTATCTACTCTTGGCGAAATGAATTGCACATATCATCAAACAAATTCAAATTCAGTAGACTACTTTGAAGTACAGCAATCAATTTAAATGCTAGTAAATCAATTGGAACACAAAATAAAAAAGTAAAAATCAATTGGAACACAAAAAGAAAAGAAAAAAACACCCTACAGGATAGTGATAAGATCTTCTGCACCTCAGTTCACGCCACAGTGCGTCCTCTCGCTTAGCAAGTTTGCAGCGCCGGCTCTGCGCTCAGCGCACCGAGTGCTAGTCTGGCGCCTGCTGCTGTTGATGTAACTCCGTCTTAGTGATTGTGTTACGTGTGTGGGTTATGCTCGTATGTACACTGATACCTCGGTAACTTCGAAATGTCCGTAACTCCGAATCACATACAATTTCATGGGAAAAGGCCATATAACGGTACATGGCATATGGCGTCGCAATTTCCACACAGAGTGACAAAAGTGTAATAATATATCCACTCGGAAACTCGCCCAAAGGGTGTCCAGTAGGCCGAAGTCAGGTCCGTAACTTCGGAGTCCGGACACCCGACGTATCAGTGCATTGCCTTGTTTAAGAGAACTGTTCCACGGCGCAGTCCACTCTCTGCATTTAATTCAGTGAGCTGTTTGTGTTGATTGCATCCAGGTGGTAGCCAGAGTATTGGAGCGGAAGGTGGCTCGTTCCCTGCAGACGACGAGAGTTTGAACGTCATCATACCGCCAGGTGCCCTGGATCACCCCACAGAGGTGTTTGCATGCGCGGCAGACATGCAGAAGACGGTAGACACGGAGCATGGGCCAGTCTACATTGGCAGGGTGAGTAAGGTGTTCCAGCCCGGATTGTATCGCGGTAGAAACTTGAAACCAAGACTACTATGAACCAAACTAATTGGTGAAATGGGTGAAAATTCAGCTAAATTGATCATTTTAGCACTTGAAACCCAACCTAATAGGTGAGATGGGTAAAAATTCAGTTAAACTGTGATTGTTTAGCCCTATAGGCCTGTGGACTTGTGCGTGGAATCACAGTACACTCGGACGTCTCTTATCCGGGCACCTTGGGACCGGGCACTGCCCGTATCTCAGATTGGCCGTATCTCAGAATAACTCATCTACCATGTATCATATCACTTTTTGAAGAAGTTTATTTGGAACGTATTGCACATGTTCAGGATACAAAAGGAACCCATTGCTAAAAATGTGTGGATTACACAGGTTGGCAGTGAAAAATAAGCACTTCCGAATACGGAAAAAGTTCAAAACCCCCAAATTCGAAGTATTTGTGCTATAGGAACTCAAGCTAAAGGTGCCCGGTAAAGAGACGTGCCCGTATCTGAGGCGTCCGGATAAGAGGCGTTTGGGTGTAGTATTTCTGACTGTACCAAGCTCAAACCTGGCTAGAACTTGAAGTGGCGACCTTCTGCTTTGGATTTGATCAGTTAACTGTTTTCTGTGTGCCCTGCACCTGGGATGTCTACTAAAGACAGGTTGGCCGTGAACTGCATGCTGTGTTCATGCTGTGTTCATGCTGTGTTCATGCTGTGTGTGCATGCTGTGTTCATGTGTGTGTTCATGTGTGTGTTCATGTGTGTGTTCATGTGTGTGTTCATGTGTGTGTTCATGTGTGTGTTCATGTGTGTGTTCATGTGTGTGTTCATGTGTGTGTTCATGTGTGTGTTCATGTGTGTGTTCATGTGTGTGTTCATGTGTGTGTTCATGTGTGTGTTCATGTGTGTGTTCATGTGTGTGTTCATGTGTGTGTTCATGTGTGTGTTCATGTGTGTGTTCATGTGTGTGTTCATGTGTGTGTTCATGTGTGTGTTCATGTGTGTGTTCATGTGTGTGTTCATGTGTGTGTTGCAGAGCATGCACACATAGTATATTGTACTGCCGTGGACATGGAAATCCAGTCGAATGACCGGCGCCGGCGCCCTCAGTGCGTACGGAACGTTGCCATGCAGTGCCCATGTCCATCCTATGCGACCAGCGAGCTGCATGCAGCACATAAATGAATGTGTGTACCATAAGTATGCGTATTCACGGCGGCATGGCCAGCGCCCTGGGGCCGCTAGACGTGCGACCGGATTTCCATGTCCACCACAGTACAGTACTGGTTGTGTCATTGTAACGACGGTCTTAAAAAAAGGGCTTTGCAATGCTTTAAAGTCTTGACCTCTCCGTCTACTGCTGTATGCATTGCAAACTCTCATACTCTCAGGTGCTGTTTTTCGGCGAGCACGGTACAACGTTCAGAAGGCCAGCCACTGTCACGGTAACGGATCATAACACCATGCCGGGTAACAAGGTGAGACGATGTGAAAGTGCAGCATAGCGTGTTACCGCACTACACCGTGTTGGTTTCATTGCACACAACATAGTACAGCGAAACCTGTCTAAGACGACCGCTCAAGAGACCTTCAAAATGTGGTCCCGGTAACAAGGTGGTCTCCTTATCCAGGGTCATTTGACTGAAAACAGCATCCCTTGGTCCTGATTGCAGTGGTCTTCTTGGACAGGTGGTCGCCTTATCCGAGTGGTCGCCTTGAGAGGCTTTACTGTACTATCAAGGGGTCCACTAGTATGAATGATGCCGATGGCTGTTGTCCAGGGAGTCGTAGCTCACAGGGAAACGACACGAGACCATAGTGCACGTACCCGGAATTATGTGCATTTCGACCCTGGGTTTATAAGTTCTACGGGACCTATGGTTTACGGACCGCGATGTTGACCTGCTGTCCCCAAGCGTGGCCCAGACAAGATATGTCATACGCGAGTGTGTGTAGATCGGCCTTGCTCTAAGGGCGACTGTAGCAGGCAGCCTGGGAGGTAAGCTTAAGTGATACCATTGCCAAAGTTGTTTTCCTGTATGCTACACATCCTTGCTTTAGTCTGGGTGATGATGGCTTTGTGCTCTATGGAAAGACGAGCTAAAACGGGTTTCCTTTGGGTACCATGGAGTGGCCGATACAGACCAGCTTTACTGTGTGTGTGTGTGTGTGTGTGTGTGTGTGTGCGTGCGCGCGCGCATAGCACAAGTTGCTATGGCTTCTGCTGTAGCATCACTATCATCGCCTCCGGTGATGGGCGTCAAATGGTCAAATGGTGTGCGCGCGTGTGTGAAGTATGTGCTTAGGAAAGGTCACTGTGGCATGGTTACTCCATACATACATGCATGTGTACAGTGCTGGCCACAGAAATCCAACCGCTGATATAATCATGTCTTGTGCTCGGAGTGACGCAGTCCCTGTGCCCTGTAGCCGGGCAGCCAAGCTCCCGTCCCTATGTGCAACGTGCAAGTCGCGGCGCAGTTCTCAAACTAGAAGTCAGATACCACTGACCAGCACTCCACTTGTGTCGCTACACGTACGTTCATGATCCGATGCGTCTCTACTCTCCGCTGTAGAAAGCTTCCTCAGAGATACACCAGCTATAACATGACTTTAGTAGGAGCACACACTTCAAGTTCTGCAACAAATTTCTGAATTGTTCACTCTCTGCTGTAGGTGTACATATTTGGTAGTGACACAGCTATCGACGAGCTGCCACACTTCACAGATGTAACCGAGACCTGCAGGCCAAGGCTTGACACGGAACAACACACCATCACGTTCCAGATTGATCACTTCAGCTTCTACGGTAAGCCACTTGGTGTGCGCTATCACAGAACCAGGCAACCAGTCTTTCCACGAGTCTTTGCTAGGAATTACCTGTATGCACCTGGTGTGTGCAGTATTGTGTTTTAGACTTGCGTATTATGAGTGAGAACCTGCAGGGTTCCCCAGTGGAGGGAAGGGATTTCCCCTTCTACCTCTTCTTGCGGATTGGCATTGTAACTGCTGTAAAAAAAAAGGAGGGGGGTTGGCGAGGTACACGCAAAAAATATCCGCACACACTGCACATCATGAACGGTGATGCAAACCGGTTTCAATTTCTAACACAGAGGCATTTCTTATCGGGCTTGAACGTAATTGCATCAGGAGTGAACAAGTGCTGACAAATAGTCCGATCCGGTGGTGTGTCTACCGTGACTGTAATTGCAGTTTGTTTGAATAATCGGGTAACATTCAGTACTGCATGTCCCTACTGATGTCCTGCAGTTTATGCCATCGTGGCTGTTTCGGTACCGATTGCGACCATTGCATACCTACTACAGAACTGCGAGGTGCGTGTTTACGTTTACGCCAAGCATCCCATCGAATCCGACTCATTCAAGCTGCAGGTGATCGTAGGTAAGTACATGCCTAAATACTAGTGACTTTGTAGCAGTGATGGCATAAAGCTTTTAAAGCTTTTTTCTTCACTTTCATGCGCATGCATATAACTAGAGAGAGAGAGCTGACGTCGTGCAGCGAGGTCGCTACACACGTACCCAAATGGGGAATAGCAAATTGTACTTCAGTGCTTGGTATCCAAATATACTTTATTATAGAAAATAAAAAGGACCAAGGAACTACAAGTTATGCTATAATGTCCACTAACACCACCAGGTACTAAACAATCAGCTCATGCGACATTATAGCGTAACTTGTAGTTCCTTGGTACCCTTTTCTATAAATTAATCCTCGGCTCTCCATCCGAGTCCAAATATACTTAATAATATGGAAAAACGTGCCCGTGCCCCGAATAATGTCCATGTTAGGCAAGTGTACATCTTCTCAGAGTACATACTAGAAGTAGGTGAGTCCCGATGTAACCTGTAATTCTCTGCAGTACCGTTGGGGCTGCACGAGTTGGGAAAGAGACGTTTTGAAAGCACCTGTGTCTGAGTGGACGACGGGCTTCTCGTGTGCTCCAGACGCAGTCGCTAGTCAGTCAAGTGTCAAGTCGTTCGGCAGGAAGCGCAAGTGTCGTCTCGGAAGGTTGAGAACGAACTGCCTCTTCTATCCTCGCCACGCCACACCTCAAAACGAACTAGTCAGTGGTTTTTCTCTAGAGCTAGAGAGAGAGCTTTTCATAGTTTACTTCAAGCGGCGACGGAAGAACTCATAATGGAGAACTAACACTGACAACGAATGACTGACGACTGTCAACAAACGTCTGACTCTGACAACGAACGACTGACAACTGACGACGAACGTCGGACAACTGACTCTGACAACGAACGTCTGACAACTCACGACGACCGTCGGACAACTGACGACGACATGGCAAAAGGAAAACATGATATCAGAAATTGGTGCCCTCGTCAGCACAAAAGGTGGTGTACTCAGCACAAAAAGGTGCACGTGTCAACAACAAAGCAGCGCAGCAGCATGTACGGGTCAGCAACAAAGCAGCGCAGCAGCATGTACGGGTCAGCAGCACAGAGACACAAATACAGCAGCAGCTACGACGAAGAGATAACACGTGCAGGCGCAGGTACAACACAAGCTTTGACGTTCGGAGCAGACACTTTCTTTTACCAATTTCCGCCGGAGTCGCAACATCTTCGTTCGTATTGTATTCCGATGTAGTCTACATTCAAGCATGACTTAGTGCCATCACCATCTGTATGCTCAAGCATGGTCTTGGTAGGGCCATCTGCTTCAGTTGCTTGCACGCTCGCGTGGCAAAGAAAGTACATGATTGTATTCTAATTCACTCAGCCGCTGATCATTCTTGTTTGAATCTTCTTGTTCAGAACGGCCCGGACCCAGCCCAACACCGCCAAAGCAGGGATACTATGAAGTGGGAGATGACCATGATAAAGTGTTGATGGCGTGCTTTGACAACTCGATCGACATTATGCTGGAGTCAACCGCGGCGGGAGGTAGTGCAATTGCAGGCAGCGGTCACATCCAACCGTGGAAACTGGAGAAGGGGTCAGAGAGACGGCTGGAACAGGGAATGGAATGCCCGGATAGTCTGAGTCCGGTGTTGGTGCGCAACGAGGAGAGTGACATGCAGCCGTATCCGTTCTCGGCGGCGTTTGTGTGCGAGACATGCCGCGTTGGCACCAAGTTCCTCGTGAATTTTAGAATTGACAAAGCAAAGGTGGATGAACAGCACTCGAAATCTTCACCTGTAGCGCCGGCGCCACGGAAACCTCCGCCACCATGTCCGCACCATACGAGTGGCACGCCAGTCCCACCGATACGCATGATGAGCATCCGGAAACGGGCTCTGGAGTTGATAAAGGACTACCTAGCACGCGACACTGGCCCGGGAGATATCGGTGTTATGCTGGAGCAGATTGCCGATTGCCGTGTTTTGTCACCCGGATGTAACGATTATCGGTGCGTAGTGGAGCTGAATGACAGAAATCTTCACCAGGAGGCCATGAGACATCTAGTGGCTGTTGTGGTGAGGCGGCAGAATGCCGCATTTGACTGCTTTGTGCACGCTGTGTGGCAATTCCGGCATCATTTGGCCGATCAACTCCTGGACTCTGCGCAAGAAGATCGCCGCCAGTATGCTAAGCCGAAGTAATGCAGTGCTGCCATTGCATGTTGGTATGTGTGCACATACATGTACACATGCATACACCCACACGCACACAAACCATGGTTTGCTGGACATGCAGCATGTACGTGTCGGGAAAGACCTGAAGCAACTTGAGACGGCACGGGCCATGCGAATATCTTCTGGGGAAAGGTCTTCATCAACAAGGTGTGAGAAGATCACTGCTCCTGTGGATCACGGTACATGTGAGAAAGCACTTGAACTATCTCATAACACCATCGCTGTGCATGGCAGCCCGGCAGCCTTGGATGAGTACGGTGCAAGCACAGCAAAGCATGGTCTTGAGCAGAGAGTAGTAAAATACCTACTCCCTGGTCTTGAGATTGCCGCAGGCCGGTACTCTACAGTCCTAGCGGAGACCAGGGAGTAGTAAAATACTGGTATTTTACTACTCCCTAGCAGAGACCATAGAGCGGCGGCCATGTGTGTTGCGCTTCTGCGGAAGTAGCGGCTTGATCTGTGAAGGCATTATCTTAAACTATTTCTCTAACTTTACGTCCCCTCCCCTGCATGAAGCTGCTGATGTACCTGATGAGTTTTGCGTACAATACCGACTGGTTCGGTGGATAATACATGCAACAATTTATCGGTACCTTTTTAGATTCAGATACTGGTAATTATCAAGACTGACTGTATCTCTAAGAACTTGTGTGCATACTTAAATTTTGTATTTATTCAACATTTCCTGGCTTGTCAAACGACTGCCAATGACAAAAATTAATAATGAATGTGAAATGAAGGGTGATAGCCAACCACGACAACTATCCGAAACAGGACAAACAGTAAAAGGCATGAAAAAATCGAAAGTCGAAAATGACCAGAGGCTAAGGGAGTACTTGTAATTAAATTGTGTAATACCACGTATAATGGCATGCACTGTACAGTGCTGCTCAAGGCAATCTGATCGAGTGAGTCAGCGTTGCACCCCCGGCCCCGGCACCAGTGAACAATCCCAGTGTTTGTAGGTATAGGGCTGCACAGCACTCAGCGTGTACTGGACTCACACAATCGCATTTCTTTGAGCAGCAGTGTGCATCCGTTGGCAGTCGTGTGCATGCTGCGCGTAGGTGATAAGAGTATTAGTTCTACCGCTGTTCGTTTAGGGGGGGGGGGGGGAGAGGAGGCTAACAAGAGAATATAGTCAATACCCACCCAATGCTGTATACACAGTATTTTCAAGCTAACACCCAATTCTCTTTTGCATAAAAGTATTCACTGCACTTGTTACAAATCTCGCCTCGAGTACGACATCCACTCGTCAGCGTAAATGAAGAATGGCGCCCAAGCCAAGTGTTCATCCCTACCTGGTCGTTTCACAATCCGGACATTACGACTGGGCAATAGACCAAACTTGAAAAGCTTCAATTCAAGATAATATACGGGTATGTAGGTAAAAAAATTCAAATGCTTCCACGACCAGAACTACTATGTATTTCCCAGAAGAAGAAAAAATATATCGAAAGAAGAATAAGTAGATGTCCACTGTCCAGTGACGTAATCCAGTGGTTAGGTGTTCAGTTGAACTATGGTGCATGTGAGTGCTTCTTCACTCACTGAAATGACTCAGGACCGGGATGTGTGCAAGGGAGAGTCGCCTGCTCCACACTCGGGATTGTGACGCGGGGCGGGTGGAAGCAGATGTCGGCGCATGTCGTATACCAACTCTCCCGAGGACATGTAGAGGTTGGAGCATGGCGTATACCAGCTCTACCGAGGACATGTAACATAGAGTAGATACACAGTGACCTGGCTCGCGAGCTGAGCAGCTTCCACGACAGGACACACCAGTAGTCTGCTTACCGCCGGCAGCTGTGCAAGGGAGAGTCTTCCTGTCAGCACACTCAGGATCGTGACGCAAGACAGATGGCAGCAGCAGCAGAGCTTGGCGTACGGCATGGTCAACTCGCCGAGGAGAGCATGTCGAGTAGATGTACACCGGCTTGACTCGCCAGCTGAGCAGCTTCCATGGCCGCACAAACTCTGCTTACACCGGAGCAGCAGCGCCAGAGTTGATATTCAGTTAGTAGGAGGCCCAACACGAATCCAGGTAGTCTTGTCTTCCACCTCTGTTTTCTTTGTAGTTCTAGAGCCTTCGTTGTTGGTACACGGACCACTGATCATAAGTCCGTACGGCAGTGTATCTTTACTCCCATGTGACTTCTTGTGAAAGCAGTGGAGTACTAGTGCCTCCACTCAAGAGTGCAGCAGTAGTAGCGGCAGCAGGGCGTTGTTATTAGCTTTCATGCGGCGACCGAGAGAAGCGGAATTCAGCACAAGCGACATGCAGAGAGTGGCGGTGGACAGCCAGTGTTCCTACTCACACCTTCACTCTCACGTCCGGTCGCCATCAACATCAAGATGAGCAGTGGTTCGGCAAGGCGCTGCGAGAGGATTGGGCACACCTGCCGGATCTGACGTACACCATAGCGCTTGCGATAGGGGGAAAGACGGGCGACACTCACAGCAGCTTCAAGTGACCGGTGACCGCGTCGACCTGCGACGACGGGCCGAAAACAACCATGACGGTGGTTGAGCCAGCTGGCACCTTCACACACAACCAACAAAAACACACGCACACACACACACACAACCAACAAACATACACACACTCAACAAAAACAAACACACACACCGTCGTGTTGATATTGCAATGAGTGCGTGCGGCTTTCAGCGCGGCATGTATGTAACCAAGCACCACCTATGGTCGATCACCTTTCCTTCGATGCATATCCCGGTCTATTATTCATGAGGTTGAAGTACTAGTACGCAGTCAGATGGTCTCTAGGTCTGAAGAGAGTGTTGTCATTCAAGAGTTGTCGCTACATTCCAGGTTGTTATTCACGAGATTGATTGTATACAGAGTAGAGTCCATATCAAGAGGTGAAACCAACAGACCTATCGGGCAGGGTCCGGCCATTATCACGCCCGTAGGGCAGAGTTGGTCGGCAGCTGCACAGGGCAGCCATTATTTTACACAAGACACAAGCACAAGCAGCATACACACACATACCTGTGTCCTGCCCGCATCCGAGATCAGCAGTGAGGGCAGCAGTAGCGCGTGTGCCTTGGCCAACAAGGCCTGCAGTGCAGCAGTGTCCTGTGCCCGGACGGCAATCTTCTTGCTCCTGGACAGCCAAGCAACATAGCCCAGCAAAAAAGGTCATAGCATCAGGGCCATACAAGCAACACAACAAGAGCTAGGCGAGTGCTAGTAGATTGTGGACGCGAAAGAAGCACACTGATTTTACCACGCAGCGTAACGTACTGTAAAGCCTGTCTAAGACGACCGCTCAAGGGACCTTCAAAACGTGGTCTCCGTATCCAGGGTCATTTGACTGGAAGTAGCATCTCTTGGTCCTGTTTTCAGTGGTCCTCTAGGACAGGTGGTCGCCTTATCCGAGTGGTCGCCTTGACAGGTTCCACTGTACATGCATTTGCTGGACAAGTGTGCCCGCCAACCCCCCGGGGGCGCTACCTTTTCACCACCGACATTAATTCAAGAGAAGGCACTATCTCTCTAATCTGACTACACACACTGGAGCACAGCTACACAAGGACGGAGTTTATAGTGCCGAAATATCAGAAATGAGAAAAGAAACTGCCAGGCAGAAGAAGATTTCTTGCAGTAGGGCTCCATCCCGAGCAGAGCTGTATTCTTCATCATTCATCTCCAGGAGATACGGATGGCACCTTTCAACATAGTGTTCTGATCAAGTGAGTGCGACATTACACCGTACAGCAGTGACATGAGTGTAAACACACACACACACACACACACACACACACACACACACACCATGTACCATGTACCATGTACACACACACACACACACACACGCCAAGAAGCGTACCCACGTGACTCCCAGGCGGCCAGCCAGTTATCAATAGGCGAGCCCATGTCGCGCATAGCACTGTAAAGTGCTAGCACAGCGTGTCCAGCCTGGCTGACAATCTTGCCGGTGCCCATCTTCAAGGACATGTTAACCACAAGCACCATCTTGTAGGTATCCACTTCCATAGGCATGACCGGCGCCACTGCTGCTTCAGGGAAATAGCCGGCAATCTGGTGCACAACCAATACAGAAGAACATGTACAGTGGATTGCTGTGCACCGCGTAATGTATGCGTACAAGCATTTCAATTGCTTGCGCTGCTTGATGGCTTCAGTGCGGCAGGGTGGAGCAAGCAGACCTTCTTTTTGAGACCTTCTCCACAATCAAACCGATGTAGTGCAACTTGCCTTTAGAAAATAGTCTCTCATGCCGTTAGAATTAGACTATGCTGTATGTTGCACTGCCAGCATGACTAGACCGGGTACCCGGGTTTCTTTCTGTCCACCGTGCAGGGGGTCAACAAACACAGTACTGACAGTACATGCACTCAGCTTGAATCGCAAATGCCCCCCCCCCCCCCCCCCCCACACCTCAGCTTTGGCAAAGACATAATGTGTGTTATCATAGTAAAATAACGATTTTCAAGGTGATCCACTTCCGTGCGGGTGTGGAAATGTCTTACATTGGGTTCGTCGTTGAGGTCGGGATCATCCACGTGCTCAATAACCCAGGACAAGGCTTCATCAGCAACAGCATTGCCTGTTGCGTACAATGCCTTTGGCACAACACAAACACACACACACAAGCACACACACACACACACACACACACACAAGCACACGCAAGCACATCCAAGCTGCTCAATCGAGTCATGTCGTTAAGAAAACAATTTGAATGCGAAAGAGCATGCGTACCAAACACCAAAAAATGCCATACCAAAGGTGTGTGTGTGTGTGTGTGTGTGTGTGTGTGTGTATGTGTGTATGCGTGTGTGTAAGTGTGTTCTCCAGAGTACAATCGTGTTGAGGACCATGTTGACCTGAACAAGTGCAGCGCAGTGCAGAGGTCTAGACTGCATGGTAAATCGAGGCACCTGCAAAGCTCATCACCACTCATGCTCAGCAGATCCCTCAAAGTTGATGCTTATCGAGAAAGTCTATTATAAATGCAGGGAACACAGAACATGCATGGGTTTTCCAAAGGAAGGCACACACACAGTGCAAAAAGAAAAGAAGAAAAAAACTTCCAGTACCTTAACGGCGGCATTTCGCGAAACGCCCATGTTCACAAGGCCCTCAAGGTGTACACCATTGGGTTCCCAGGCTACTGGCGGCGCAATTGAAGCAATGGCTCTTACTGCAGATATCGTTTCAGCAAGTGACACTTCTGCAAAGACCAGAAAAACAACACGGCAGTCAGTGGTTGTAAACTTCCCCGCCAGAATTTCACACACGGCTGCAGCGGTGAAGAAAATGGCTAAACCAGCTTGCAATGATGACCGGCATGTACTATGGCAGCTGACAGCATGTTGAATACTCTTAATTTCAGAAATTTTAGGTGCTCAATATTTTCAGTATGAGGGCAAAAGGCCAGGTTAGGTGAACAGAAATTTTAGGTACAGAGAAGCAGTTTCCTATTGGATTCTGTGCATTAGTGTTTGTTCGATTTACTGAATTTTTTTGGTATGAAACAGATGCACCGAAAGTACCGAAAATAAAAGTACACCGAAAATGTGTGAAGTTATAGTAATTAAATCTTTTCCTCCAAGGCAGAGAACGAGGTTAGTCAAACATTGATGTCATGGGATCCAAGTGCAACAGTAATCCCTGATACTGATACTGTGATGTGAATCGACCCCCAATGCACCAGGTGTGCATTGGGGGTCGATTCACATCACACACACACACACACACACACACACACACACACACACACACACACACACACATACACACACACACACACACACACACACACACACACACATACCATGCACACACACACACATACCATGCACACACACACACACACACACACACACACACACACACACACACACACACACACACACGGCTTTGCCAGCTGTGTGGATTGGGCAGTTATCTGGCGCTAGTCTTGATCTGGTTCATTCAGATCCAGTCTGCTACCGTTGATATAAGAGAAAAAACTGTGGGTGCACATGTACATCGAATGCATTTCCAGATTAGCGTACTGCTCTTGCGACGGGCGCACATAGTACATGATGTGTATGTGTGCGTGCGCGTGTGTTGTATGCGTGTGTGTGTTGTATGCATGTGTGTGTTGTATGCGTGTGTGTGTGTAGACCATAGACACCATGAGTAGAGAATAGACAGCACGCAGGATTCAGGATCAAGCCAGGACGGGATGCACCTTATGCTCTACAACCACCGTCCTACTATCTCCGGGTATCATACTCGCTGAGAAACTGATGGCAAGCTTGCACAGTGCATACACATCTTCTCGAGACAGCTACTGCATGCAGCTAGACATACAGTGCTGCGTAGTGAAAAGGAAACCTGTGACTGCAAGTTAAGTCAGCACTGCACTTACCTGTACAACGCCCGGCCATGGGAGAAAATGGCCGACGGGGTTGGGCGGCATGTACGGAAACACCATTGCTGTATACATCTTGCGATGCAGCCGACACCGGCGGTACTTCAGAGGCACTGTGTACCGCCGCCAGACTAGACTCTCCTTCTGCTTCAGTTGGCATTGCCGCTCCATTGCTGCCGCTCTCATCCTGGAAACTCATGGTGCTGGTCAAGAGAAAGAAACCTGTTCAAACACAGCAAAGAGGATACTACTAGAAGAGATGCACCTCCATTGCTGGTAATGCATTCAAGCTGAGCTACTTCACCGTGTGCGTTTGTGTGTGTGTGTGTGTGTGTGTGTGTGTGTGTGCTGAAGACACCGGGAGAACAATAATCAAGTGCGCACAAACTGTGTGTAAAATTCAGGACGCTATGGGTGCAACCGTTACACATAATTTAGACCTCTTAGACCTCCATAGCACTCTATTCGTGTCACGAGGACAGGTAAATTTGCGGTGATTGAGTAGCACCCTTTTTTTCCGCAGCAAATGTGTACACCATCAGGACTCGAACCAGGGGCCTTCGCTTGAGGCCAGCGATGCTCTAACCACCGAGCGACAAATCAATAAAACTAATTTTATCAAAAAGTATTCTTTCTAGACCAAAGAGTGGTATATTTGATAACATTTAATAACGATAGAAATTTTTATGATACTTCTCCAGAAGTATCGTAAAAATTTCTATCGTTATTAAATGTTATCAAATATACCACTCTTTGGTCTAGAAAGAATACTTTTTGATATTACAATGAGAGTGAATAATCAACGGCTTGTCCACCAACTCTAAAACTAATTTTTCTCTCAACTATTGAGAACTCAACGCAGTGAGTGGGCAGCAACTGAATAGAGCAGTGGCTGTCAGTTAACAAACCCCCTTTTTCTCTGTAGCTCATGACAAATGAATTGCTGCACTATTTATACAGCATATTGGGGGAAAAATTGTGATGAAACGTACACAGGCTGAATGCACTGATTTGAGAAGTAATGGGTGGTTAAATAGTATACTGTAAATATACAAAATTTCGGCGCTGCAAAATTTCGGCACTTCACGATTTTTGACATTTCGGCGGCGATTTATTTTCGGCGTGGGGTAGAGGGCATGGTATAGTGCGACATATGCTGTGAAAAATTTCATCGGCGTTTTAATTTAGTCGTTTTGGGTCGGTGCCGAATATAGCCGAAATTAAATAGCTGCCGAAAATTTGTATATTTACAGTACTGCGACATTGATCCATACCATGATACATGTACATTTGTTTGTACAGTCATGTATATTGCTCTTGTCCATCAATAAAACAACAATTCATGAACCAAAACAAATATCCAAAAAAGTTTTATTCCGGCAGACCGAGTCTCCTTTTTGAGGGGTTGCCGGCCCGAAACAAGCCTATTTCTTTTGTTTTGGCTAATAGCTATAAACCCTTGGTCTCAAGTCAACCTTTATTACCCTGTCCATTATTTAAAACCGACTAAAGAGGTCAATATATGACATACTAGTACAGAACAAGTAAAAGTTTGGGTTCAATTCGCAGCATTTAGATTTTTCTTCTTTCACTTCTGATCTGTTGAAAGTTGAGGAAAAAGTTCCAAGTCGTAGATCCTACAAGTGGTCAATAAAGTGGTAAAATATGTGTAAGTAGTCAATATAATTATGATGATACTTGCAATTACCGGGTAATTAAATTATTTGACCGCTTGGTCAAAAAGTCATTGGTCTTCCTACCAATAAAATAATATCCACATTTTTACCAAAATATCGGGCACGATGCATGGGGTGGATCTACCGGGTAGCGACTTCATATCAGGGAACAGTCACAAAACGGATGGTAGCTTACCTGCGCACAGAGGATTCGAACTGCCGAGAGATTAGAATTTTGCTTCCACTTTCAGCAGCTTTTATTACGCTCGAGCTTGACAGACTTTTTGACTTGACTTTTTGTTGCGACAAAAAATCTCTCCACTCACACATCGTACAGACTCGAACTCGCTCTGATCCACAGCCGTGTGAACCGCATGCGCACTACGTACAGTAGTGCGCATGCGGTTCACACGGCTGTGGATCAGAGCGAGTTCGAGTCTGTACTGTACGATCGTACTTCAGGCGTGGGCCATCCCCTGATGTCATTTTGTGTGTCGTTGTGGTGCTATGTCACTGCGTGGCTCAAGGATCTAGGAGCATGTTTGCTCCTGCCATGCCTGAGTCCCCTGCTGTGCTATAGTGGCGGCGGAGGCACGCATCCAGTGAACCTGCACAGACAGTGCAGTGATCCTACTGAGTCCCTGAGTCCCCTGCTGTGCTAGTGGCGGCGGAGGCACGCATCCAGTGAACCTGCACAGTGCAGTGATCCTACTGAGTGACAGACTCTGTAAATACTGTATCTGATGATTCGTTTTATGTGTTGATTCTTCACAAAATGTGTTATTTTGCCCGTACAAGAGGCTCAGTGATAAAAAAAATAAAAAAAATCCCCTGATGTCATAGCTGCCAACTGTACTGTGTGTACGACTAAAAAAAAAAAAACATAAAAAAAAAGCATGCTGTGTACGACATGTGAGTAGGTCTACGAGTGGAGAGATTTTTTGTACGCGTAGATCTGCTCTGCCTCGGATCGCGATATCGGTCGCATACCGCGAGTAGATCTACCGGGCCATTACCAGCGCGGTATTCATGGTATTCGCGTACATGTAGCGATGCTATGCTGGCTAGCTTCTGGCTGTATTTCGTGTGGCCATCCCGGCTTCTTCCCAGTCAACCCCGATCCAAAGGACGCGGGCCGCGAGCATTCCCAAACTCCGAAGACTTTACACACGCTTCGTCTTTGGCTTTATCTTTGGTTTGGTTTGTAGTTCAAGTGCATCTGGAGGTGTGACCAGGCCTTATCTGGCTTTGCTGTATGCGTTGCCATTGTAGTGAGCGATTCTTGCCACTCTTAGTGCTGTAGAAAGAGCGAAACTTTTTTTTCGCCAGTGGAGCTCGTGTTCCCTTCAAGGCTTCATGGTGAGTGTCTGATTTCTTTCATTCGAAAGGTCGGATGTTTCTTGCCACTCGTTGTACGTCAATCATAGCACCACGGCTTAGACTTTAGCCTAGTTTAGGTCATCAGCAGATTCTGTCATCTGCTGTCATCTGATGTCCGTCAGCTGATATTCTGTCATACCTGCTCTTTGTCGGTCCTTTCGATCTAGACTCGAGCACTCAGCAGGGTGATTGTACAGTACTCACTTCACTATTAATTTTTCAAAGTATTTTGTGTAGACCTACACATTGTGTGTAAATCTGACGGAGGATTCGACCTCATGAGCTCAAGCCAAGGCCTTTCTGAGTAGAATACGATCATGTAGATCTACATGAGTGATTTGCGAAGTAACATGCTTGAAATAACATAATATTAGTATTTGCAGTTCATACGATTCTTGCTGCTGGATCTGCCTTGCAAGAAGGTAAAAATCAGAAATGTCCTTTTGATTTCACTCCCGCTACGGTTTGACATTTGACAGTTGTACGCGTTTGTTGCTGTTTTTGTAGAGTCTGTCGTAGCTAGAAAGCTGTTCTTGTTTGAACCTGGCACGTGTTGTTTTCGTTTTTGTTGCTGCTGTGCTGGTTGCTGGTGCTGTACTCGGCGGAATGTGCAGGCAAGCCACTGGTGACTACAGTATCTGGACCTGCCAGGTGTGGGGCCACCATGAATTACGTTGGTCGGTTCCTCACCACCTGCAAGGACTTGTACAATGACATCAACGCCGCCACACTAACCGGAGCCATCGATGTGATCGTCGTCGAGCAAGAGGATGGGACACTGTTGTCCTCACCGTTCCATGTGCGCTTCGGAAAGCTTGGAGTACTCCGGTACAAGGGCAAAACGGTGAGATGCCCCTTCTTCAGGAATGTAAATTGGTGAAAAATTGACTGAAAATTTCAAAATCCTTTTGTCCTGTTCAACTCTACCACTTCGTGTAAGATTCTAAGGCTAGAACTGAAGAACAGAATATTGCGCGAAGCGGTTAACGTTACCCTGAATTGCATGATCACCCGTATCTAAGCTTTACCGTAGTATTGCTATGGACGTTTCCTAGCTCAGCTGCTCCATTCCAGCCAACTGTACAATGACGATGTTCTGCTCTACGTTACGAGAACGTGCGACCCCAAGAATCCCATGAGCACTCTTCGTGTTCCCGTAGCGCAGAAGACAGCTTTCTCTGTAATTTGAATGATATACGCCAGATCCGTACGCATTTCCTTTGCGTTTGCCGCAACGTAGAGAAGCTCACCTCTGCATAGAAATCTGGACCCAAAACACGCGAAGCCGTTGATTGAGACTCCAACCCAAATACCTGTTCTCCACATGGTTTCACGTAGAGCAGAACCTCATTAGTATCTAGCCGGGCCAGGTGTAATTATGGTAGCACACAGGTGTGTGCGGTATGCCCGCGCTATGAACTGTGTTCGGCTCTGCACTGCTCCGCCGCACGCGCACTGTGAACACGATGCGTACATTCGGTTAAACGCAATGATTCCTTTGATACCAGGCCGGTGGAAGACGAAGCTTACGCGTGGACGAAAGTGAAAAACTGAAAACATCACATGTTCTTCGATCACCATTGTAACAATCTACTAGCAGTACACGATGATATAAATTATGGCCATTCGATCTTGAGGGGCAAGTCCACTAAAACGGTACACGCCGTGATACCAGTCCTCCATTATCAATGAACTGTGTACGATCATACCCACAAATGTACGACAACTGGCTGTACCTGCCAAATATGGGACAAGTTGCCCCTCAGGAAGGTGGCGGCCATGTTTTATGCATAAACCCCATTTGAACGAGCAGCCCAGGAACGAGATCCTTGGTAGTCCCTTGGTAGTTCGCGCTCCACCTACCCGTATTGACGACTCCATGATGTGTATGAACTCAAGAGTCGTAACTAAACAGACTGAATTGTTGATTCACTGTTGTCGTGTCTCCGGCTCTGCCCTTGATTGCATTCAGTGCTATCCACGCCATTTGGTGATTAGTGTGTAGATTTCTGCACTTCGATATTATTAAAGCCAGCCTAAAATGGTTGCCTGTTATATTACGGTCTGTATCTATGTCCTAATAGGTGGATATTCGTGTGAATGGAGACGAAGTATTGGACCTGCCCATGCGACTGGGCGATTCTGGGGTCGCATACTTTGTTGATGAGCTGGATCCCGGTGAAGATGGGGATACCGATACTGAGGTGCTGGATGATGAGGTGAGTGGCCAAGCGCATTCCTGGTTTCCAGCTCACTCTTACTAAGTCTTAGCTACTAGCATTGCAATTGAATAGCGGGGGGGGGGGGGGGGGGGTACCCGGGATCCCTGATCCTGAGAAAGTGCAATGCACGCCACAATACTGGAGTGAGTTGTTGTTTTTGATTCTGGCAGTGCTGCTGGTGCTGGCATTTGAGCCCAGCAATGACAGTTGTATCGGTCGTCACAATGTGTATTGATTGTAATGTGTGTGTGTGTGTGTGTGTGTGTGTGTGTGTGTGTGTGTGTGTGTGTGTGTGCGCGTGTGTGCGCGCGTGTGTGCGTGTGCGTGTATACATGTGTGTCTGTGTGTGCGCGCCTGTGTGCACAGGCCACCCCTGGCAGGGGCCGGTCTCATTCCTGCAACAGCATAGACCCCACTGGTGACAAATCTGCGGCTGGTGATGGATCAGGTACTATTCGCTTGCTTCCCTATCTTGGTATTTGTATACTTGATCTATGCAGTGCAGTTCCCTACAAGTACAGTACTGGTCAATGAAAACCAGCCGCGTCACTCAAGTACGCGCCGGGCGTTGCACAGCCCTAGACCTGCGAACACTGGGCTGCGAAATAATGCAAGGCGCAAACTTGACTGACACGACTGGATTTCATTGAGCGGGACTGTACTTGTCACATTACCTGCACCCAGTTGGTCATTGCTGATGAAAAGAGGGCGCAGAGGGAGGGAGTGATGCGGGATTATTTAGACCCTGCACGTATTATGTTGGGCTGCCACCTATTGTTCTAACAGTATGTGGTAGCAAATAATGTGAATTTCTTTGCAGTCCAGCGGATTATTGTCAATGAGTGCCAAGTTCCAGGGGGGAGCTAGCAAAGCTGTAGCTTTTGATTTAGCCCAGACCTCTTTGGACTGACCCCGCGGAAAATCGCAATCCCACTGCCGTGCTAACAATGAGTTACATCCGCTTTTTTTTTTGCATGTTTCGTTTGAACACTGCTTTTTTGACAAAATAACTCACTGCGATTTGGAGCACTGCAACTGTACATGTACCAGTAGTGTGCATGTGTATGAGTATCGTGTAGACTGTAGACTGGTATGGTTGCTATGGTGCAAGAGCCCCTACGTACATCTCTGTAGTCTGGTGGAGGGCTCCCTGCCGGACGTGAAGTGCGAGAAAACGTCACAGGTTTGCCCTAGCGGCGGGGAATCATCATGCCTACTCAGAGAGCCCTACACTACAGCGCCTGCGCATACACCGCGTTTGTTTTCTGTATGTTGAGTGTCGCGTGTCACCGCAATTTGCTGCATTTCCCTTGATTTCACCCTGCGTTTATGACATTCTAGTCTGCATTTTTGGAGAAATTCCTCCATGTTTTCCACGGGGACGGTTTGGAGGAAGAGATGAAAAGTAATAATCCGACAAGTGCTTCTGCTTATTGAGCAGTTGAATGCAAGTGCTTTGAAGTAGGCACTCTCCTAGCAACTCAACAGGCTTTTAGGCTTCTCTTGTCAGCTGTATACTCTGACTCTTGGTGTTTCCGTAGGACAATTCTTGAGAGGACATCAGCGGACTGCCAGCACTGATAGTGACGTCAGCTTCAAATCGTTCCAGCCGATCGGAAACTTGCTTGGCGAAGAGAAGCTGTTAACACCTGGAGAGGTTTGTTGCTACTTAAAAGTACAATTGTGTATGTGTCTACTCTCCGCCGTGGTCCTTCTTTCATACATATTCTGCTTATGTCTTTCTTCCTCCCTCCCTCCTTCATGATTTTTCTGTGGGTGGTGTCTTTCATCCTGGGCAGCCGGGGAGGAGGATCGGGACATGCAGGTTTGCCAAAGTCGTGTGAGAATCCTGTCAGAATATGGATGTGTGCGCCGTCTTGTACCGAGCGAGAAGATAGCATACTCCATAGGCATTTCTGCATGTATACTTTTTTTTTTGTACACAACTCGGAGAAGAGTACTAGAAGAGATTCTCTCACGGCCAAATCCTGTTGGGCACAGGGCTTGTGTTGCGTTGGTCGTAACTGCTCAATATTAATCTTAATTAAAAGAACTCTTGTGTGTGTGTGTAGAATTAGGTGACCCGCTTTCCCACCACATACAGTGCATACTCTAGAGACTTTTAGGTGGAATTTAAATTTAGGTGCCTGGTTTTTTCTACCGAAATCACCGAAATTAAAGTTACACCGAAAATAACATGATTTACAGTATTTGGCGAATTTTGCTTGTCTGTGTAGGGTTCGTCCTTGACGGATCTGGCCGACAGACGCTCCACCGGCAGCGGCGAAGGGCCCGTTGTTGTGAGGAGACGACACTCTCTGTCTGGCAGGAGAGCCGTGGACCGCAACGCGAGACAAGCATTGTCCGTGAGTTGGCGTGCTGGTGTCATTGTTTTGTTTTTTTGTTTTTTTTACATATAAGCCGCTTACTCTCAAGGATGATGATGTTCATGTGGTGGTAATGTCCTGCGGCTTCTTTACAAGCAGGATACACCACCATATGGGCGTAGCATTGTATGTGCCAGGGAGTAGTAACGTTAAAATTCAAAGGATCAGTGAGGGAAGTAGTAAAATACCGGTACTTTACTGCTTCCTGGTATACAAGTATGGTTTAAAGTGCATGTACAGTGCTGGTCACTAAGGTAGGAAATCTGCTCTGGATGCAGAAGTATGCTTTTCCGTGCAACAGCAGGATACCTGGCACCATTTCCCTAATGGGCCCGGATTCCGGTGTCCACCGCTGTAGTATATTAGTAAGTTATAGAGAGATGGCGCATAACGGAGTTTTGTAGTGTTCGACGGATCAGCCAACAACGGAAAAATGCTACGAAAATCGGTTGATTCAGAGCTTGCGCAAAAGTAGGAATGTTTTCCGAGTACAATCTGTATCGGCTATAGAGTGACCGGATATAAGAATATATCGGCTACAGTGATATTGGTACGAAATATCAAAAGCAAAACGTATTTTGTCCAGTACAAATATCACTATAACCAATATTATCGGATGTAATGATATATTGGATATTATGATGGCAACAAAGAATCAAAACATGCATAACACACTATATTATTATCGGCTATAGTGATAACATTAAAATACATGTAGCAATAATATCAAAGGCCCTATTTTTTTTACTTTCTTCACGCTGCTTATTTTTATAGTGATACATGTACATGTACATAACAGAATTTTTTATGGAAATGCGGGCACTGTCAACTATGCAGCATGCTGATTTGTCAAAACGCCATGCTAGCTGGAAGTATTTCCTTGCCTTTCATGTGTCGATCGAAAAAAGAAAAAAATCGATCGTCTCGCATATAGTGATGCATCGGTTGTAGTGATAAAATCACGGAAATCAAAAGGGTACGCTATAGTCGATACAGACTGTACGGGGGACAGTCAGGCAGGCATGTGCCCCGTGCACGACAGTATGCGGGTGTCGGTGATTGCACCGGAATAGTTTTCGCTGTTCAGCTCTTTTTTCCGTTGAATGGACGTTGATACGACTCTCGTTACTCCAGGCCGATACAGTCGAATCTTACGAGTTTCGCTGTGCACAACCTCTCTGTCTTTGTGCGTTTAGACCCTTCTAGGCTCTACATTGCTGCACTGTCCGTATTGCTCGTCACACGCATGCATTGTCTAGTGCAGTTCACTTGGTTGACTGCCGCTGGGCAGACCTGGCAAGGGTTTCTTTATAGTGGTGCCCCTGTTGTCTTGTAGCTTCTGTTTTTGCCTGATCTCCCTCCCTACTACCAGTACATTGTATATGTATTTCATTTCTTTTCTTTCAGAAATCAATGTGTGGCCTGCCTTACGTGTCCCGGTCCGCTCATCCAGTGCCCAAATTGTTCCGCACGCACTCCAATCCTGACATCCGCATTCCAGCCTACCTCCGTCAACAAGCAGAGGTTGAGGAGAGTCGACGGGCAGCCGACAATGCTGGGCAGGTAATGTGCACGAATACTATCTCTATCTACGTGTATCTCTCTGTTTCTCTCTCCCTCTCTCTCTCTCTCTCTCTCTCTCTCATCTCTCTCTCTCTCTCTCTCTCTCTCTCTCTCTCTCTCTCTCTCTCTCTCTCTCTCTCTCTCTTCATGGCTTATCTGTCATCACTCCCCCCCCCCCACACCCTTTCCATAGTGTACTTGTGCATCCTGCCAGATATATTCTTTGTGCTTTTAGTAACCTTTTAGTACTCCCAAGGCCCACTCACACCGAGTATGTGGTGATAGTTGGCACCTTCCCCCTGCCTTGTGACTTTAGAGCTAAGGCTGCTAGAGCTCTCACCACCTTAGAAGCAGGCATACACTTTATTTGCTGTTCCAGACACTGACGTGATACCCGAGATCGCACACTGCTGTCAGGTCACCATAATATGACCCATAGCAGTCCAGCCAACTAGTCATTGTTATCCTTCCGATAGTGTGTCGGTATCGGGTATGACATAACAGTGGTAAGCTTAGTGTGTACTTGTTCAGTATCATTCTTCCTCTAGTAGTGGTATATCTATCCTTGGACCAATGGAAAGCACTTTGTGAGAAGCTGCTAGCGTTTAGTTATAATGTGTCGTAAATTGTATTGCCTGTATTCAGTCCAGGTTACTGTACTAGTATGTCACGTCTAACGGTCTTGCTCTTGTACTGTACAGGGAGCAACTGCTTTTGGCGGTCTTCGGTTTGGTGATGCCGGCTTTCTTGGTGGTTCAGGGTAAGCTACGTAGTGGACTGGAGCTGCGTATTGGCTTGATCTCCATCTTCTAACCTCTGGGATTCTCTAGAAGCATTGATCAGTGTCTTGTTCTATTGCTCCTTGCACCCGCTGTTCTTTTTATTTTAGCCTATCCATCCATCCCTCTCTCTCTCCTCTTTCATGCCTTTCGTATTCCTCATCCTAAGCATTGACCGTGTGACCTACTCTGTATCATTTCTGCTCGTGTGTCTGTTGTGATATTCGGCTCCCTGTTCACTGATCACCAGGCCACTGGACCCTGCAATTCTGGAAGGGCTTCACTCGCTGAGCGATTCCGAGCTCATGCACGAGGGCCTGAGCAAGGCTGACGAAGGCGAGATGTCCTGGCCATGGGGTGGTCTACCCACCACCCAGCATGACTCTAGCATCAAGACAAAGGTTAGTGCAGCATAGCACGTTGCCTGCCATTGCTCGGAACCCGGCAGTAGAGTGATGTATGTACTGCTGGGCACCTATTTGGCTGACTTGGCTCTTTGTTAACTTACTTGTGATGTGTGTGTATACCATACCTTGCAGAGCAGGAGCTAATAATAATAATAATATTAATAATATTTAAACCATGTCATTATCTGGGTCATGTGTTTAGTGAATGTACAATCTGCTCTGAATTGGCAGGACTGCTGGAAATACATGCCCTGCTTTCTTAGAAGATCTGCATAATTATAGGCCATGTGTCCAATGTCGATGTGATGACAATATCAGTGCGCTTTTTCGGAACGAAATGGGTGCTTTGCAGGTCTCAAAACAGACCAACACCTACTTTGTTCTATGGGTTTGTACACACATTGTGCTCTTCTCTTCTTTTTGATGATAACAGTATTCTGTTGTTGCTGTTCAGGGTGAAAGCACGCCTGCCAATGCCAGCAGCACGATGGAGGACATCTCGAGTGACTCGCTCACCTTGAATGCCGCTGCTGCCAAATGCGGCGATGAGTTGCAGCAGGACCAACGCAACCCAGCCGTGCTCCCGTCGAGTATGTTGCTGTGTGCTTACTGTGTTTCTGTAGCTTGTCCATTCAGCGTGATGCCGTGTAGTACATTTAGCTCTTGTGGAAGCCATCGCTGTTACCAACATGAAATGCCTCCCCAGAGTCTGCAGCTTCGCGTAAAACCTCCGTCACGATTCCTGTTCAGAATTACGTCATTTTGTAATGCAGTATAGCTGACTGTTCACAAAACTGTGTGACTCACGGTCAACCTTGCATCTGGAATGCATGCATAGACATGGTTACATCATGAACAATGGCGTAATTCTGAAAGCAAGTCGTGGCAGCTAGCCAACTCTGCTGAAGTAGTTGCACACTGTGAGGAGTATGGTATCATTGATCTGCCGTTGCTTCTCTTGTGCTGCTGCTGCTGCTTTCTACTCTATTGTTTGTGTTGCAAGCTTGAAGCGGGGGCAATTTATAAAATATGAGGTGAAAAGGCGAAGTTCGTGTTGGTCTAAACATCGTATCATACATACTGTTCGTGTTATTTCTGATCGGCAGGATCATCTTCTATTGTGGTTTCCATGATGTCACGTCTGTGGGGCTCAAGCAGTGAAGCAAAGACCGATGTAGCCAAGGAGAAGGTAGGTGTAACTTGGTGCCGGTAGCGCTCTCGCCATCCCAGTGTGTCTCACGACGCTCTCGACTCCAGCCTAGAAAACAGGGCGTCTCGTCTTGCTTGCCCGGTGTGATACTGAGTGCGTGTGTTATACCAGTGAATGCCGGTTTTGTGATGCATGTGATTGTGTTACTTGTAGTGACTCATCACTGGAGTGCATTGGACGATTTCTGCTTTACTATGCATGTTGGGATACGGGGGACTAGTACTTCTCTATCAGCCTTGACCCATTCATCAGCTGTGTATCCACTGTTTATGCTCAACAATGCCATGGCATCTTTCCCCAGACACTCCAGAGGAGATTCCTGAGCATTCCTGTGTGGAGACCAATGTCCGGAGTGATTCAATAAAAGATCAGCCATTCGGGAATGGATAATAAGCTTGTAGCAATCTTTTCGGTTTCTCCAGGTCAGTGCATGCCGCAAGACTGACTTGGTGATGTTGATGTGCCTGTTTTAATTTCAGGGTGGTGTTTACCTTTCCGAGCTGAATACCGCTGACATGGACCCAACTACTGAAAGTCTTTACTTCCAGTGAGTCACCCAGGGTTGCGCTACTGCTTCTATGATTTTTTGTTTGTTGGATATGGGCCTGTGTGTGTGTGTGTGTGCGTGTGCGTGTGTGTGTGTCCACCAGAAGCTCTGTACGTCAGTCTCCTTTCACCTCAATCATCCCCCTAAGCCTTGCTCTTTTTTCTTTTCTTTTTTTTTTCGTTTCTCACCGTGGTCTCCCGCTTCTGGGAGCGACTTCGGCCATTCTGTGGCAGTTGTACATAGTAATATGTTTGTATGTGTGTGCGTGTGTGTGTGTGTTGTACTGCTTGTGCATAGGCGTAAGCACGCCGATCACACGCGTACATCCAGCTTACCAACGCCGGTGCCAATGGCGGCGGGGTCGCGTAGCGACGTCAAGAGTGATTCGGACACCATAGATTACCTCCAGCACATGCCGTCATCATCATCCGTGGAGAGTCAGCCTCCGTTCAGCTCGTCAGCTCCCCCAGCTGAACAGCACTGCGTGCCACCACCCAGCCACGTGGCCAGAGATGCATACAGCGATTCAGGTACGCTTCCTCATGTTTTGGCCGTCTGCGCTCTATTGTGATCTTGTAGTGCACGTTCCGCACCCAGGTTCGAAGATTCTGGAACCAGAATAGGTTGAATCCGTTGCAATGTTTTTCAATCCACTCCAGAAACCTGTGGAAAGAGATTACGTGTGCGACTCTTTGTACAAATTAGTCATACTGCACTTCAAAAAGAAGTATACACACGGCAGACAAATCTGTCGCGCTTTTCTAGAAGGGTGGGAGTGTAAACCAAAACTTACATTCTGGCGGAAGATTTTGAAATTCTGCCTTCACTTAACCCTTTAGGGCCCAAGATTATTTCAAGGAATGCACTGCCTACGTGGGGCCCAGTTACTTATCTGGTCGTAACTTTGGTGTCCTTTGGCCGAGTTTGGTGATCTTTGGCTTTCTGGAATGCTCTAGGCCAGAGGAACACAGCGATAGCCAGCAATCCATCAGTGGATCCACAGGACCAGCGCCGCAGCGCGATTTGGCGCTCCAAAGCCAGCACTGCGTGCGCCCAACTCAAATTCTCTGCCGTTTCAACAAATTGTGTCGCAGATTACCCAAAAACTTTTACATGAGAGCTGAGAAATGTACCTTTGCGATGACATGAACTATCTGTGTCTGCGTGGGCCGAGGGTCAAGGAAACCCCGAAACTGTGAGTTCAAAATGCACGCGCCCGGTTTGACTCCGCTGAGCAAATTTAGTTCGAGGCTGATAGGGGGCCATCCGGCATTATCGATAATTTTCACGAAACGTAAAAAAAATTAGTTAGGACCCCACCCATCTTTTGTACAGTCAGACCTCGCTTATCCGGTCCTCTTTTATCCGGATCCCTCGCCATCCGGAAGAAAATAGCTGGTTACATATCTGCAGCATACGTGATGCATCCAACATAAACGGTGTTCGGTTATCCGGTTCCCTCGCCTATCCGGATATTTTTTGTGGAAAACAGATGTGTGCGGTTAAGCGAGGTTCGACTGTACGGCTAGAGGAATGGAATGGCTGTGGGATGATACACCATCATCAAGACTGTCCCCCTTGCATCGCTGGGTGCATGGAAGTTGTTCAAGCGCTGACCTACTACTGGAGGCAGTCCATTAACCTTGCGCACTGCTTCGTCGTCGTTTGGAAAATCAACTGTTACTCTGTGAGGGTTCTCCTGTCTGCAATACATCAGCAGTATATCCCTCATCAAGGAATATTGGATGCTCAAAATGCCAGTTATGCCCTTGATCCCACTAATATCCAAGCTTTGCAAAGCGGTGAAGCGACATGGTCGATGTTCTGTTACGATAATACCCCAAGCACTACTGAGACATGAACAACCTGCAGCATACATGTTATGCATGAAGGCGGACATCCACCAATTTGTATCGTCAACATGTCTGCTATGGGGCTCCAGGAAACGACTAGCTGGGTGATGATACGCCGTCCCAAATTCCGGCCTGGCACGACATCTGCAAGGGAAAGTGTTCATGTTCCCGTCAAGCTCCTTAAGGTCGACTCCCCCTTTCATGGGCAATTTGTATCATCAACGTGTCTACTATAGGGCTCCTGGATACGACTAGCTGGGAGAGGCTACGCCATCATCTATTATTTCAGCATGGCATGGGGGCATGCAAGTGCAGTTGTTCATGTCTACGTCAGACTCCTGAAGAATTGGCGAAATTGGACTCGGAAGTATGTATAGTCAAGGGCGCCCATCGGATAAATATTGGGAATTAATAACATGCTGCTTCTAGGCCAGTAGCGCCAAGGCCATCCAGCCCCAAATAAGGCAAAATAAGGCCACACGCTCCGAACATCATTCAAAAACGTGTGCAGGAAATGAGAACGCAATCTGACACTTCACGAGTGAGCCAGCCTAAGGTCGCTGACGTAATGTCCTTGGAACTCCAAGCTTACACACGCATACCCACACACACACGCACACACGTCCACGTGTATGCATGTATGTGTGCCGTTGCCTGACTTGCATTAAGCTGATCATGCCAGTCTTTTTGGTACGTGTGCGTGTGTGTGTGTTTTAGGTGCTTCTTCAATGGCTGGATCGCCACCACCCCGAGAGTCTCATCTAGCTCTGAGTGAACCAGGCTCTGGAGCAGTAACGCCCCAGCCACAAGACGAACCCACCAAACACTTTCTAGAGTGAGTTGTGCTGTTTCGAGAGTCAGGTTGATGCTTCCATTAAAAGCTAGCAAAGTATAAGATTGGAGCTCGTCCATTACATGCCAAGGACTTGTGGCCTGGCATGAGTGCCTATACAGGGCTATGGCAAATCTTGGCACTTGCGCTGATACGTGTGAGAGTCTAATACTACATTGTAGCCCCATATCACTACTGTTGAGATATTGCATTGACCACTTAGACAATATCACATTGCTGGCAGCAGCCTAGTACTAGCCTCTCGTCAATACTGTTGAGATATTGAAATCGACCATTTGCAAGATATCACATGGCTGGCGTGTGTGTGGTGTATCATGTAAACGCCTTGCTCTACAGTATAACAATTTCGTTTGCTCATTCTCATATTTACCTGTTTCTCATGACCGGTTCGTACTTCCTCACGGTGCACTTTTTTGCCTCACTTACAGGTTACTAGCACCCGGCAGTGTGGAGTTCTCCAACTGTGGCGGCTTGAAGGACTCGGAGAAGGAACCAGGTATGTACCTGTGGTGCCTGTACTGTGCGTCTTGGCACGTAGATGTCTTTGTGCCGATGGTATGTTGGAACTAGTGGCGTACACAGGCATTGTGTAGCATTGTGGTTGGCTAGAGACCAGTGGCAATGCGCTTACCGTCGCTGATGTTACCCAAGCCGCCGTAAGCACCTCTTCAGCAAATTCTACTTGCCATGAAACTGTGAGGGTCTGCTCAGCACTGAAATTGTATACAGTCAGGCTTCGCTTATCCGGCCCTCCTTTGTCCGGATCCCTCACCATCCGGAAGAAAATTGTTGGTCACCGATTTACAGCATATGTCATGCATTCATACAGTATGTGTGTTTGAGTATCCGGTTCCCTCGCCTATCCGGGTATTTCTGTGGGAAACGGATGTGTGCGGTTAAGCGAGGTCTGACTGTACATGGCTGATGTTTGGAGGAACATGACTATACAGTGTCACCTTGTTTGGGGGATATATGGCTGTGTTCCTATAGTCCTGTATACTGCTAACGTCACATGTGTATTGTTGTCTCCCTCCGTCTTAAGTCCCTGTGCTCTCTTTGTGTCCATCTGTGCCTGTGTTTGTGCATGTGTAGATCAGTTTGCTGAGCATCGGATATCCTTTGAGGAGTTTGCTGACAAGCCGGAATTGCTCAGCCACTCAGGCTTCGTCGTCCGCATCAAGAACAGGTACGAGTGCTGTACTGGGACAAGTTTTATTGGGGAGGGTCTCTTAAGTTTAAGCAAGAGTAGATAAACAAGAGTGTGCAACTCGCGGATGGGTTGGCCCACGGCGGAAATTTTTGTTGGCGTAATCTTTTCTACGACGCACACGCTGCGAGTCTTTTGGGAAGTTTTGCCTCGTGCACTTGGTCGGGCTTTACATTACAAGGTCGGTGCCCAGCACGTGCTCTCACACTCTGTAAAAAGGTGACGTCAATAAAAAAATTCCGCCGTGGGCCGGGGTACCTGCAGATTGTGCAGGAGAGATGCGGAGTCACACACTCTTGTTTATCTACACTTGGTTTAAGCCATGCTCTGAACAGGTAGTGTAGATTTTTGTGAGATGAAACTGTTCAAACAGCATTTTAATATCGTTGGGTATACTCAAAGTAGAATGAAGTTGAAGACACCACTGCCGCTGTACTTATGGTTGAATATGGTGGTAAAGACACACCTGGCAATGTCGGATACCGCCAACCATGCATCGACTAGGCGCAAACTGATGATGGTGGTGGTGAGAAGGAGAGCTCTGTGCCAGAACTTTGCAGCCTAGAGAGCGTGTGTGGGCAGGCGTGTATTTACCGCCAAATTGCCAGGTGTGTCTTTCCCACCATATTCAACCATACTCAAGGTAATGTATTGAAATAATGTAGCTTGTGACGATTTCGGCGGGTAGGCATATTGTGTGCATGGGCGGTGGGGCTCTACAGATTGCCTGTAGTGGTCAGTGTGTTGGGTACAAGCATGTTTTAGAATTCCACGTTGTTTAACCCAGCGATCTGTGTCTGTTGTTCTTACGGCTGCTGTTGCTGGTGTAGGTACTATACGTGGCAAGCAGCTGCACCCATAATCATGTCGATGGTCGTCTATGGAAGGCCTTTGCCCGAGGTATGTCCTTTCGCAGGCGCTCTCTCTCTCTCTCTCTCTCTCTCTCTCTCTCTCTCTCTCTCTCTCTCTCTCTCTCTCCTATGTATCACTTCTCTCCTCTTTCCTGTTCTATCACTCATCCTCTGTGCTCTGCTCTCTTGTGGTCAGATGTTGCTTGCAAAAGCTCTTTGCTTCTGTACGCAGTTGTTTGTGTAGCTTTTTTACTTTACCATAGGCACAGGCAAAACCTGCCCTCTCACTGGGCGTATTGCCACAGTTATCGCGAAATGATGAAGATAAAAAAAGTGCTGAGGCAGGGTCCCACAGTTGCTGAAGTACTACGGTGGCACTTCAGTAGAACTGTCCCCCAAGGGCACATGGCGGAGTACTTTATTTCTGACATCCAACTGTACACATGTATGTGGACATACATGCGGGCCAAAAATCCCAACACGTCATTTCTGCACGTGGCCCTGCACTCTTGTTGACCCCATTTCACATTGAACGCAGCATCAGTTTGTCAGGATTTTCTGGTACTGACTGTATGTGCATGATGTACCAGCCAAAAGGCTTGTTTTTTCCACCTCAGTGTATATGTTCTGCGCATTTTCGCAATCTGTCCAATTTCGAAATTGTGCTGCACATTCTTCCAACTGTGAGATTGCGCAGCCAGTTTCGAAATTGTGCTGCTAGCTCGGGAGGTTGCGCAATTTCGAAATTGTGCTGCTCGTTCATAAATCATTGCACTGCACGGATTTTTGTTTGTGTTGGTGCATGCTGTTGTTTGACTGTTGTGTGTGTGTGTGCGTGCTTGCGTGTGCGTGTGTGTGTGTGTGTGGATGTTTGTTTGTTTGTGTTGGTGCACGCTTGTTTGACTGCTGACAGAGAGCTCACCACCACCTTATGAAACAGCATATGCCCCGAAAGGTAAGCGGTGTGAATCCAGTCTGAATCCAGTCTGAATTTCCTGTGGTCACTGTATGGTGTGTGCTAGCCCAAACGGTGCAGCACAGAGAGCCTGCCTTTCTTCCTTGGCCATGTCTCTGTAACGCTGTGTCTAATATCATGCACTCACTGTACCATGCTGTGGCTCTATGCATGTTGTGTGCAGCGTCGTTTCATGTGGTTCTGGCGAGGTGAGGACGCTCCGCTAACCAGCGGTGCCAGAAGTCAATCAGAGGTAGGTGCCTCGAAGGCCAGATGGATCTCTCTCTTTCTTTCTCTCTCTCTCTCTTTCTCTCTCTCTCTCTCTCTCTCTCTCTCTCTCTCTCTCTCTCTCTCTCTCTCTCTCTCTCTCTCTGTGCCCCACTCTTGACTTCCCTTGTTACCACAATGCATGGTGTACAATGAGTGACTGGGAATAATAGCCGTGCAAGGTTTATGCCATTATCGTAGAACCTATATCAGCGGTGTGTGTGTATGTGTGTCTGTCTGGCTGCATTTGTGTGCGTGTGTGTGTGTGCTCGTGTGTCCAGACTAATATCCTGCACACAAGCAACCCCGCTTCAGCAGCCATTGCTGTGCCGAGTGAGCGCAAGGCGTACCACCACGGCTTTAGCAGCGACGACGAAGACATCGGTGCCACCGATGAGGTTCATCAGGCCAGCGACTATGAAACCACCACACCATCCACGGCGGTCCAGTCGCCAATGGCACGGGGCAGCGCGTTAGCTAGGGAGACCTCTCTACTGGACGCTCGTGACGAGAACGACTCTGCTCATGTGCTCCAGCATTCCATGTCTTTACCTGTCGAAAGCACCTCTCCTTCACCGCTAGACGTTAAGAGCCCGTCGGATCCGTGGCGCGCAACGATCAAGGGTGATTCTGGCTCCTACCTGCGCCTGCCCTCTGAGAAGCTGAAGGGCTTGCGGCTGAAGGACGGCGCCAACACGTTCACCTTCTCCGTGACGACAAAGTACCAGGGCACGGTGTCGTGTGAGGCCACCGTCTATCTCTGGCATCATACGGATCAAGTGGTCGTGTCGGATGTAGACGGTACTATCACCAGGTAATTCGTAAATACCACTCTCCCACTGCCAGCAGCAATGGGGTGCTTCCATTACTGTGTAAAGTAAGAAATTTTCGCTATCTTCGCGACCACCTCACATTCGCGAATATAAATGATCGCCGCAAACCTCTCCTTACATTCATTGTAGACAATACAAGATCCGACTGAAGAGATTTAGAATCGCAAAAGTTTCTCATCGTGAACCGGCCCAATCTATGAAAACGCTGAATTTGCACGCCGAGAACGTTTGTCGCTTTACAATGCCTGTTGCTGTGATGCCTTGTAAGAGGTTACTACGTGTACATGTACATGTATACGGGTGATGGCAGGTGAAGCCGGACCCTCGTGAATAAAGCACAGCCATGTTCACAGCACAACCCAGTGTTCATATTGCTTGCGTCGCACCGTCCCGAGGCTGTCATATTCATGAGAGGTCGCACTTCATTTGCCACCACCACTGCACATGTACTTTGGGCTGGTACTTCAATTTTCTAATAACTCTTTTAGTGATGTGGTGCAAAATTATAATATGATGGTGTAACTGAGTCAAATGGAGTGTGCTAACTTGCACAGTTCTGGCCAAAGAAATCCAGCCTCATGAATAAAGTAGCGCCGCGTTAGAGTGCACAGACCAGTGTGTGTAGTGCTAGGGCTGCGTAGTGCCCGGCAACGCTATTTTATTCATGAGGTTGGATTTCTTTGGCCATCACAGTACTTCTCAAGGTTAAATATAGCCCATTCTCAACTGTGCCCAGCTATATTGCTTGGACGTATGCTTTTCCGGTGCGTGTGTTGGACCTTGTTCGTGTTTTCTGACCACCGCCTTTCGTTGGTTTCTCTGCTGTGTGTTGTGTATTCCAGGTCAGATGTGTACGGTCAAGTTCTGCCGTTGTTTGGTCAGGACTGGTCGCACTTTGGTGTGGTGAGTTGCGGGGTGCTACTTAGTTGTGTGTATGTTTTGGATCAAGCAAGGCTGGTGCTCTGTCTTCTTGTACTCTCAGATCTCCCGACAGTATACATTGTAATGCAGTGTTCTGGTGCCTTGCAGTGCCCTGCTTTGGCCTTTAGAGTGTGATCTGAACGTGTGCTTGCCTGTGCCTCCGCTCTGCTTCTTCCAGGCTCAATTGTTCTCTGGTATCGAGAATAATGGATATCGCTTCATCTACTTGTCAGCACGTGCCATTGGCCAGGTATGTACTGCTGGATTGTGGTGGACAATTTGTTTAGTTGCACTGTGGCCCGCCCTCTCTGGTGTGTGTGTGTGTGTGTGTGTGTGTGTGTGTGGCTTTGTGACTCTGTGGCTGTCTCTCCCAGTTTTCGGCATTCTTGCACTCAAACTGTGGTATTTAGTATTTTCTGCTTTCTTTAATGATTCAACCTAACCTCTCTGTGTGTGTGTGTGTGTGTGTGTGTGTGTTGTGTTTGGCTGCGCTGTGCTGCAGTCCAAGCTAACTCGTGACTACTTGCGTAACATCCGGCAGGGCCAGCTGTCGCTTCCTGACGGGCCTCTACTGTTGAACCCCTCCTCGCTAGTTCGCGCCTTCCACCGGTATGTCCCGACGTGTGTTTAAGTACAGTACTGTCGATCGCCGAAGAACTGGGGGGTCGGCCTCTTACCCTAGACCGCTCTTATTTTCATGTACTACAGTCTATGCACCGTGTATACATTGGTATGCTGTGCTTGGTGGAATTCTAGCCTGTTCGTTCTGCGGCGCTCCGTTCTCCGGCGCCCGACAGGACTGTAGTCTGTAGCTTAGCTTGCCCTTTCCAGATGTAAAGATATGTACATGTATGGTCGTAACTTTACTTAGTTTTCCACTGCTCTGTGTGTGTGTGTGTTTGTGTTTGTGTTTTCTCTTCTCTTAGTGAGGTGATTATGAAGAACCCGCAAGAGTTTAAGATCGCCGCGCTGAAGGATATCGGCTTCCTGTTCTGCCGCAAGCTCACGGATGGGCCGTACTATGCCGGCTTTGGCAATCGCATGTCGGTAAGTCCTGGTGCTCTGTGTCAAAGGTGACCGGTTTCTGGTGTGCTGGAGAAGACGTGGGTGTGCATGGGTGTGTGGGTGGGTGTGTCCATGGGTGGGTGGGTGTGTGGGGGTGGGGTGGGGGTCTGGTGCAGAGACTAATGATGGATGTGCGTGAACAGCACAGCTCACCGACGACAAGTCTCAGGTCGTGAAGAGACCAGCATCTGAATGCTCTCTGACCCTTTTACTGATATACGTTTTCCTGTCCGTGATCTCCATATCCTATCTTGTTGTAGTGGGTGGGTGATGTTGAATTATGGTTTGTCTCTACTCTGGCCTTGTCAGGATGTGATCACATACCTCGAGGTTGGTGTGCCCAAGGCACGCATTTTCACCATCAACCCGAATGGTGAGCTGCGTCACGAGTTCATCCGCACTTTCAAGTCAACGTAAGTCCTGCTGTTTTTTTGGTTTTTTTCGTGCTCTTGCTGATTTTCTTGCTGTTTGTGCGTGTGTGGACTGGCAAGGTTGCGGCTGCTGCTGAGGCGGTGTGTGTCACTGTGTTTGCATGTCTGTGCTTTACACTGCTAATGGTTCTACAAAACCACTAGGACCAGGGCCTGTGATTTCTCGCCTATGCCTGTATGCGTATTTTGGTACTATGGTCTTGGCACTTTGCTGTCATCCGACTTGAGTTTCGTCTTGTGTTGTCTTTGTTTGTTTCCGCTCGTGTCCCTATCTCATCTCTGCAGATATGCAGATCTTACGGATCTGCTCGATCAATTCTTTCCGCCGCGTGATGAAGTGGATGCGTCCTCACCTGTAGCATACAACCAGTTTAACTACTGGCGCACGCCCATGCCCGTGCTAGACCTTGACAAGGTCCAGAAATAGAATCTGATATTGGCACGTCCGCTCTGGGACTGGAGAAGTGCCGAGATGAGTAGTTTTGTATTCGAAATCATTATTTTGGGGGAAATTTATAATATTCTTGCTTCAGAGATGTGCGTGAAAATGCGCCCTAGTGATACAGTGATTTCTTTTGACAAATCTTGAGAAAGCAGCACATTACAATTAATACCTCAGAACTCACTGGTGTTCATTCTTTTTCTAGGTTAGTGACAGTTTGTAATCGCTTGCTTTGCATGCTGTCGAGCTGCTCTGCGGCTTAGATTTGTATTTTTATGACTGCCTTTTGGGGGAGTCGTTCGTGTGTGTGTGTGTGTGTGTGTGTGTGTGTTTGCAAATATTGGAAAGACGATGCGCTGCAGGCTAGCACAATACCGGTCTTCTTGGCTGCATGCCACGCACAGCTTGGTTTTTGTCCAGTGTGTGTGTGTGCGTGCGCGCGTGTGTGTGTGTGTGTGACGTGCTGTAAGAATTAAGAATTATTTCACTCTTTGCTGCAGTCGTCCTTGCTCTTCTTGTACGTACATGTATGCAGTAACTGACGCCAACGTTTATCTACCCTGGAAGTCGCTTTCTACTGGGTGGTGCTTCCTGGAATATCTGCTGCTGCTGCTCTTTGATATTATTTCTATTCTTCCCCTAATTCAACTAGGAATTTCAAGCTAGCACTATTTCTATCAAATACTTTCTAAGTTCGTACTTTCGGTTTTTTAATTATTGATTGTTGATGCCTTGTACCGACCTTGCCTTACTGTGATTCAGCCCATGTGGATGTGCATGTAGCCACGTCGCTACATGTAGATCAAGCTCACGGTGGCGTCAGACTTCCTGATTGGAGGACTTTCATCATGTAGTTTCGTGTTTGAATAATTATTTATACGTGTGCTCTCTCTAGACCTCTGTGCGATGTCGTGCGAATGCTCCGCCGCCTGTGTGGCATGCAGGGGGCAACATCGTGATTATCCAGGCAACCAACGCCACAGGTCCTGCGGCCAGGCTGTGTGGCAGTATGCATAGGATATGTATGTGACTGCATGCGTAGCTATGGGACTACGTTGGCCGGGTCTACACAGCAACCAGCATTTCCATTTCCAGTAAGTGGGTTTATCACTACAGTAACATTGCAATTGTAAGTGTTCAGCGAGCTGAGTTGAGTTGAAAGAAAAGTGGCTATATAGAGAGTTGCTTATGTGTAGCTTTATATGCAGGCATGGGTGTTGACAACAAGGATGAAATTTGTAGGACATGTACATGACTGGATTATGACTGTTACCGTGCATGTGGATTGTGCACTTGTAATTATCATGAACTGCAGGCAGCAAGTGCTTTGCCCGGCATACTACAACAGTATTCACTATCCCCAATACAATCATATGTGCGATCATGTACGGTTCTATTGGTTTCTTCAAGCTCAAATGGGGGTCACTCCTGTTTTCTACATGACATGTAGTTTCTGTGATGATACCAAGAGTACATAACTCCCCCCCCCCCCCCCCCCCAGAGTGTGCAACTCCCACATACCCTGCTGTCCCGACAGAATTTCAAGTTGACGTCGTTATTTATGACGCAATGCTCCTTGCACCAGTGATTTACAACATGTGTACGGGTGTCAACGCATCACACGTTTTTCTTTGCAATAATTTGTACAGGATCGATCAGCTTCGGTCAACCACAGGTTCCGGATTCGTCTGATAATCCGTGTACAGTGCGCATTGCATCATCAAAATGACGTCAACTTGAAATTCTGTCGGGACAGCACCCATAGTCGAGTTGCACACTCTGGGGGGTTAGGCCACCCTTTGTTAATTCATTGTTTAACGTCCTTTTTTTCGCGAAAAGGTACGCGGGAGGGCGAAAAAAAAACAAAAGCCCATTCCAAAAACTGGAAACCCCAATCAAACATTTTGACCAGTAAAGCATGTGATATCTACAATATTTCTGGGTCTAACGGTACTTGCAGGCATAGAACAACACTCTTTGATGGTACATTGGAGCACATGCCTGATGAATCCAACAAAACAGGTACATAGCATGGAGTTAGCATGTCATGAATTCATTACATCTGGATTTTTACTAGGACACACACCGTACGATATTTAAAAGCCAACAAAAAAAGAAAAAGAACACAAGACAAAGGCATGCCCGGGAGGCAAGATTTTAAGTTTAAGGTCATGATCGGCACACTGTGAAACTACACAATCATGTATTTACAACTTCGCATATTATTGGTACTACTACTTTCTTGTTTTTTTTCCGGTCGGAGGCAAAAAGGTACGCGGGCGCGGACGTTAAACAACGAAAAAAGAAAGGATGGCCTTATGTACTCTTGATGATACTCAACCAGGATATGACTGTCCTACAGTAGTAGCATAGAAAGACACAAAGATGATAAAATAAGGGGCCATCCGTAAATACCGATATTTATTTAGAAACGAAGCTAGTCATTTCTCAATTTTCTCTTCAACCCCTCCCTGAGAAATGAACACATGCAAACGGTTCATAGTATCGATATTTTGTTTTTAATTTTTTCTGGACATGCCCACACATACACACTGTGCATCGATATATTTTGAGAAACGAACAGGGGGCTCGACCCCCTCCCCCTAAACGGCTAGTTTTTGTTTCTAAATAAAATATCTATATTTTACGGATAGCCCCTAAAACGGGTAGAGAGAAAAGAAAGAGAGTAGACCTAAGTACCTGTAGCCCAGTAATGGCTGCAACCCCGATCTAGAATGTGCATCTATTAGCGAGGTGTCTTTTTAGATTTAAATTTGTTTAGCAACATTCAACATGACTGCTATGCATGTACGACTACGACTACTTGAGGCATGTAGTTTGAAGTATCTTTATTGCGGGAAATACAATACAGTATTAACGTTTGTGTGCAGCAATATCATGCACTGAAGTGCATGTATGCACATGTTTACTAGGTCTCTTGTGTAATAATATTGAGCGGTTCCTTACAGCAAACGTAAATGTTCATTGAAAGAGGCGCGAGGCTCTGGCCAGGTCAAATGAGATTATAGAATGATTTGAAGGTTTGAAGGCGCCTGCGAGAAATACTTCAGCTGCATTGTAGATCTACATGACACTTTCAATGATGAGCCATGCACGGAGGGGGACAGCGTAGAATTACGATGATCTCAAGCGATACACTTCACAATTGCATAGGCCATATAGTGGTAACAAATTGAATACACTGGGACAAGCATTAAAAAAATCATCTAAGCAGAGATTGCGTAAATGCTAAATAGGCACAGCTAATTACTACTATCAATTGGAAGCTAATTATTTGATTAGTTCATCATCTCAAGCCTGTAGTCCGAGTAGTCGATCTCGAGCTATGGGTCAAGGTACCGTTACCGTAGGCTGTGTCTTTGAAGAGCAGATAGCAAAGTAAGAGTAGGCATTCGGCCAGTGTGGATGCAGTCCAAGTCGGGAGATGGTGAGCTCAGAATCCCTCGTCCCAGCCGCTCAGGTCGGTCTGCGTCTTGTGCGGGTCCTTCTTCGCCTCCGTCTGGTCAAAGTTGGTCAGGTCGGTGGGCCCCTTGAGCTGCGGCACGATGGGCGGCTCCAGCGACTTCTCGCGCAGTCCGACCCAGTTGAAGTTTGAGAACCACTTGTGACTGCGGATGGCCGCCACGCCGCTCTGTCCACGACCAGCGCCAAGCCGGTCGGCTGGCCTCAGCTGGCACAGGCGTAACACAAGGGCCTTGGCAATTGGCGGGAACTCGTCGCGGGGAAACGCGACAGCTTGTCAAAGCCGCCGAGGACCTTGTTATACGTGACCATGTGGTCATTGGACGCGAATGGAGGCCAGCCGCTGAGCAGCTCGAACAGCAGGATCCCCAGTGCCCACAGGTCAACGCTGAACGAGTGTCCTTTGTTGAGAATGACCTCCGGGGCCATGTATTCCGGCGTGCCACAGAACGTCCAGGTCTTGTGAGCAGGCGGTGAGAGTCTCTTGGCGAAACCGAAGTCGATCAGTTTGCAATACCCGCGCGCGTCCAGCATCAGATTCTCCGGCTTTAAGTCCCTGTCAGGGTAGAGCAAACAGAACAGAAGCAGCAAAGGCACACATGAAGTATTGCTCCATGTTTATGCCGATGCTGTGGGCCTGCAGATAGCCACATCATCACCAGTCGCGAGCAATTTGCCTCCAGCTGGCACAACAGTATCCGTTCGCTTACCGGCCATTACTCTCTCTGTGTCTCTCACTTACTCACGTACTCTCTCTCTGTGTCTCTCTCTGTCTGTCTGTCTCTCTCTCTCTCTCTCTCTCTCTCTCTCTCTCTCTCTCTCTCTCTCTCTCTCTCTCTCTCTCTCTCTCTCTCTCTCTCTCTCTCTCTCTCTCTTTGAATTTCATGCTTGTCATATTATCATCAAACAGCAATTTATTTTTATAATGTCATTGATGGTTTGCACCATGTAAGCGACTTATGAACATTACTCACCTGTAAACAATGTGTCGGCGATGCAGATACGCCATCGCTTCCACAGCACAGCCAACGATGAACCTGGACTCCTTCTCAGTCAGCCGTCCACACTGTCTGAGCACGCACCACATCTCACCACCAAGGCACGGTTCCAGCAACATGTACAGGTAACTGCAGGAAAGTTGGAAATCAGCAAAAAAAATACAAGAAATTGCACTCAAAACAACACACTGCATTCAGTAATAATTATCGACTTACGTAAGTGAAACGACCTGTGACAGCTCACAATTATCGGCGGCGGACTGTCAGAAAGTGCAATTAACTGAGCAATTCACAACATGCTTCCTGTGCCCCCGGCAACAACCACCAGGTATCCCCTCAGGAACTAAACCAGAAAGCATACATGGTATTCATGTTTACAAGATACCTACTAACTGTGACAGTGGAGCAGTTCACTGTGACCGCTGAAGAACTTGACCCAGCGCGGACATCGCTGAACAGCTCATCAAGCTCGGGCGCCTATTGCTGACAATGTCCAGCAATCTTTTCTTGATTTACTGACGGTTGTGTACAGGTTCTGACCTTTACTATCAGCTGTTTCAGTGACTACTGCCTTCCTGCATACAGTAATGTGACGGTCTGTCTACATGGCTAAAGGAAGAGTTGAAGCCTTAAACATACTACCCAGATCATGTCACACAATTTCGGCCGTAGCAATTTTAGATAAAACTATGTAGCAGGTCGGCTTGAATCAAAACCTTCTGTATGACTTACCAAGGGTCGCGGAACGTGGCATACAGGCGCGTGATGAACGGGTGTCGAACTGTCTTCTGGATGTCGCGCTCGCCGAAGACGTGCGCCTGCTGCTTTCGCTGCACAATGTGTTTCTTGGAGAGGCACTTCAGCGCGTATGTGTTGAAGTCACCGTCCCGCTGCACCAGATCAACGCGTCCAAATCCACCTGAGAGTCGACATTTCGCGAACACACACATACACACAAACACACGAAAAACACATTGAACCAATACGGTACAAGGGGTTTGCCTGGCTTGTGAGGACGTGTTGTGACCACTCAAATGGTTCATTGGGTGAAGCTGTCCCTATCAGCTCATGCAGACATAAGAAGCTAAGAAATGCATGCACATGTACTGATTGTGACCACCCCACTGATATCCCTCACTGGGTTGCTGCGTGTTGCTGTAGCAGCAGGAGTGCGACAACGTACATTCAGGGTGGGGACTCATGTCACTATTGCCATCAAAACTGGGTCTTTATAGCTAGTGACTATACTGGTCTGTACGCTGAGGATTGATTTGGACCATTGCACTGTTTCAGCCGAGTGTTGAGGTACTGATACGCGCCTATGGAGATGATTGCTGACTGCCAGCAAGTGTTCACAACACAAGGATGATCTGTGACAGTTTGGTATGGCATCATGCACTGTATGGACTGGGTGCTGGGGACGTTTAGGCTGTTCCCGGACCACGTCACTTTTCTTTTTCCGCAATCAATACCAACAGGTTTAATATGCCATTGTTTGCACACTCAATTAGACAATAATAGTTTCGGAATGACCCCAAGTGTCATGTGCAAGTTTTGTGCAAGGGATAGGTTGAGTTTTTTAGCTTTAGTTATAGCAATCAACTTTAAAATGGTGGTCACGAGGCAACACATGGCAGTAACAGGTAGTATAACTTTGGTGGGGGAAATGCGGGGAAACACAGACAGTGGAATAGTTATCCGGGATGCCATACGTGTCCTGGATGCCATACGTGTCCTGGATGGTTGTGGAAATGTAACGTGTAATAATCAGCTATAGGTGCATGTGATTCTGACAGTTGGGGACAGGGCCCTGGGCTGAGGTGTTAGAGGCGTCTTTCTCCAATCAAGTCGACGCTGTGAAAGCAATGCTCATCTCCTCTCCCTTGTTGTCTTTGCCCCCCCCCCCCCCCCCCCGCGTCCCCCCCCCCCCCGCACCCCCCATCCTCCAAACTGAAGCTATGTACCCAACCCATCCCATGGATGTGTCTCAGTTCTGGGGGTGGAGTTTTCTTTCCACAAACTGGAAATCAAACAAGCAATCTAGTGTTTGGATGTTATGTGCAGCGATCTAGTGTTTGGATGTGTGGATGGGTGCATGGGGGAGGGGGGTAGATTTTGAATGTGTCAACACCCTGGAATAATGTTGCTCAAAGGTGCACAAGGCTCTCCTAATAGCTGCAGACCTCTACTGATTGAGATCAGGGTTACGTTAGTGTGCTAGTAAGTTGTCACACTTCCAGACACATGCACTCACTTGTATACGTGTATTCTAACATCTTACTTTGGACGCGGCTATTACCAGAGGCAGTGATAGCTATTGCTGGCCGAAATCATAACAACTTGTGCTGGTATTGCACCACTCAACAGATTGCAAGCCTGAAGATTTGACTGCCATGACGTAGTTCGCCTGGTCTGCACCAAACAACTTCAGGGTTCGGGGTTTTTCCTGGCCCAGGTCCTATATGCGTATATGTGCACGAACACACATACGCGCGCACGCACGCACGCGCGCGCGCACACACACACACACACACACACCGTGACACGTACACACACACACACAATAAGCACTGCCTTCCCTTCCATACATACCGGAGCCAAGCCGTCCCAGGACATTGAAGTCTTCGGCGAGGAGATTCTCGTAGCTGGTATCGGACTCGGTCGGCTCGGCATCCACCTCGGTGAATGTTCCGTTGTCTTCATCGTAGATTCTAGCTGGTGGCACGGAGGGTACACTGCCCGTGTCATGCTGTCCGGCCAGACCGATCGTGCGTTGGAACATGCGTCGACCGATGGCCAACAACACCACCTCGGTGACGGCCACGATGCTGGCCGTGCGAACGTCGTCGTTCTGCAGGGCCTTCTCGCCAAACGTGTCGCCTTCCTTCAGCGTCCGCAGGAGAACGGTGCCTGCACTGCTGCTGCCCGTCTTGCTGCCATTGCCGGTGGTAGTGACAGTGGATTCATCCTTGAGCACGTTCAGCTCGCCCTCCTGCACAATGTAGAACGTCTCGCCGATGGCGCCCTGCTTGAAGACGTACTCGCCCGGCAGGTAGCGCTCCTCGCTCAGCGCGTCCACAAGCCGCAGCAGCTCCTCTTCCTTGTCCTGCAGGTGCGAGAAGAAGGAGATGCTGCGGACGAAGCGCAGGTTCTGCTGTTGCCGCAGCATGCCCGTTTTCATCATGATCATCTGGAACGTGCGCCGGTCGGTGCACCAGAGCGCTGCCTCGTTTGCTTTGCCGTCGCCTTCGATGTTGGTCACGCTGGCCGTGCGCTGACATCCGTACAGCAATGCCAGTTCGCCAAACACCACCCAGCTACCGAAGCTGGTCAGATGCTGGCCGTTGGTGGACACTTCAAATTTGCCCTCAGAACTAATGTAAAGCTCATTGCCTTCCTTGCCCTCGTCAATGATCTTCTCTCCAGCTTTGACATGTCGTAGTTTCATGCTGTTGACAATGTCTCTGATTTGCCGGATGTCCAGTCTTCCAAGCATTGGGTTCTTGCGAATGGCATTCTCCAGGTTCTTCTTCGTGTCTGGATCCTTCGGTACGTACTCCACTTTGAATGTCATCAATGCTTCGGGGTCCACCGCCTCCGCCGAGATGGCAGTTTTCTGCGACTTGCCCTTCGTCCATGCCTTGATGTCTCGTGCCGCCGAGCCATTCTGGAGTGCGTCCGTGTTGCGTTCGTTCATTCGCTCCGTACGTGTGCTGCATTCTTCTCCGGCTGCAGCTCCGTGTCCGTTTTCCGTGACCACAACACGAAGTCCGTTCGGCGACGGTGACGGCGCAGGCGGAGAAAGAGTGGAGCCAGTACGTAGCTTAGCCACTTCCTCGCGCAGCTGACTGATCTCCTCGAACAGCTTCACGCGACTAGAGCGCTCCTCGCGCAGCTCATCTTCGAGCTGGCCGATGCGCACGTCCTTCCACGAGTCGGCCATGTTGTTCTCAACGCCCAGCTTATTCTTAGACTTCAAGCTAATCACATCGTCCATGGCACACTATGCAGCCGACGAACACACCTTCGCAACCTTCTCCACAAAAGCCGGCGAGTCGCGGACTAGCTCGGGGGACTTAGATCCTCTTCCCCAGTAGCAGGGTCAGAGAAGACGTTATGCGCTACAGCTCTGACACTCCACCGTGTTGCCCAGCTGATTTCTTAGTTCTGGACAGCTAAATACTGTGTAGATCTATGGACAGGGGATACAGACAGCAGGGAAGAACAGTTGCCGAGTTCCTGTTACCTCCGATCGCGTTCAGTGCTTTCAGCTGCGAGATCTGCTGTCGTTCACTGCTACATGTAGCTGCGACTGGTGCTCTTTGCCACACGCTGGAGAGGTTTTCTTCAAGCCCTCGCCGAGCTGAACGACCTGGTTGTCCAGTAAGCCTTGTGTAGCCCACTAGTGCTGCGTGAGCCAGGCCAAGGTTAGGACAAGGGCTTCCGGGTGGCGGAGAAAGGAACGGCCGAGCTGTCGCAACATCGAAAGTATTCCGACATGCGGCGAGCTGGCTTTGCACCACGCTGCGATTGACAAGTGCTCTCCACTGTCACTGCCAGGTGGTCATGCACTCACTCAGCGTAGTGTTGCGTAGAATGCAGCCTATGCCAACGGGAGACAGCTCGCGCAGCAACCGCACTCAGTCAAGCCAAGGTTTTATTTGCAGAGCAAGGGAAGTCTGGGCAGCGTTCGCTCAGTGTTTGTCAAAAACTGCGCGACCGAAAGTTGAAGTCGAGTGTCGGATGGTTTTTGTACTGACAGCGGCTTCAACAGCACGGAGGAAGAGGTCATCGTAACTGTCGTGGTGACTTGAGACAGTTCAGGGTGTCTGATGGTCGCCTCTCACAGGAAATAAAGCCACGGATCGCACGAGTGTCGAGTGGGTCCTCTTCAGATTCTTGATCGTCTGAAGTGGCAGAAAGCTAGCGATCCGGATTTTGCACGAAGTCCGGGAAGTAAGGGTTGATCCACAAAGTAGATAGTGTACGGTTCGTCAGCAAACAAATCAATAAAATGCAATCAAGCCAAGACAAGCAACAATGTTACATCACGCAGGAACTGAGGGAGCAACGATTTTGTTCATGGCTTTCCAGTGTGTCCAGCAACCAATCAGCGGTGAAGGCGCTGGGTTGGCCTTTCTGGTAGTGTAGCTGCGCGACACCACCATCCAGCACTGAGCCACAACTTGCCTCAGCCGAAACTCGTGCCTTCCTTTCCCAGCTGGTTTCAGAGTCTCAACGAAGGTAGATGTCCCAGCGGCGGATACCTATGTCACAGTATGTGAGTACGCGCGCCTGCGACCTGCTAACGTTAGCTCCAGGCTGTAGAGTTCCGAAGAACACCTACTCCAAACTGTGGAACGACGAGACAGAAGGTGTCACATTCACAAGGATGTGTTGAACGCCTTGCCAGGGGGCGAGAAAGACAAGCTAGTTCTCCGACCACACTCCAGCCTTCGCTCTTCTCAGTTCTCTTATCTGTGGCTTGTTGCAGTAGCAGTGGCTGTGGTCCAGTGTGGACTGTCTGTGCTTTACTAGCACTCAATTTTACTGTCCATACGCGTAACCGGTGTGGTTGTTATGTGTTCCTAGCAGATCAACGAAAGACGGACAGGCTTCGGTGCTAGTAGTGGTAGTAGAATGCAGGTATTTGTGGAACTCAGACAGTAGGGAGTGTATGTGTTACATGTACATGACTAGAAGTGTGACTCTTAGTCGGTGAGTGACTGAGTGTGACTTAGACACCTGGCTTCAAGTCATGACATGACAGTCGACCTACATACAATGATTAATTATGTAGTATGATCAAACATAGGTCTCAGCCTCACTCGCACAGTCTGCATCATCTGTAGTCACAGGCCAAGCACAACCGTCTTATCGTCCTGTAATGGCTGCGTTATCCAGTTATCGTCAGGTGCAGGGCTCACCACGACGTGGTCGGTCAAGCATTGAAGGAAAAAATCTAAAACACTTGCAGCCGGAAGTGCTGCTGGCTCGCTGTTCACAGTTCTGTTGGCTGGTCGTTCAGCGGCTGAACGAGTAGATTCCAGCATGGGTTTTAGGGTCCACCTTGATCCCAAGTCACGGTTAGTGTCCCCTTTCGCCAATCCAGTACCGCGCGGGACCTGAAGCAGTCGCTGGAACGGTGACTCGGATGAAGGTATTTCGATCGGAGAGGTCCCCTTCGGCTCTGCGTGGAAGCAGTAACGATTAATTCGTCTCGATGTTCAGCGTCGGTGCGTTTGTTCAACTGCCGCCAGAGAAGCAGCGGGTTGTGATTGTTGACAAATACACATATTGAAGCCGAACTTCAATCCTTAGCACAAGAACAGGCAGCCTGTCTCCTTACAAAACGCGACAAGGAAGAAGGAAGAGAGCTGTGAACAGTGTGGAAGGTACAAGGCACTACTAGTAGTTGTCAATAAACGCGTTGACTTGTACAAATCCTCGCGGGAAGCGGAATCACCACGGGGCAAATCGGGGAGAAGTAGGTTTTCTGTACTACAGCTAGTACAGCAAACCATCGATTCAAGACTGCAAGATCGGCAGGCTTTGTCAGTTTTAAAATAGCATTTTGTGTTCTTTTTTTAAAACACATTCGGTGTGGTGAATGGCCTTGCAACGACTGTAACACGTAGTGCTTGGGCTCGAGTGTCACCACTCTCCTGTGAGATGGAAAGAGTCCTACTCTGCCCTACACGTACACCCGAAGCTCACTTTTGTATTTATACTAATACTACTCAAGACGGCGATGATCACGCCGTCAACTCACCTCGATAGAGATTACTGATGATGTAGAAACATGAATGTTCGACTGTTCGTGTTTCTCTGTCAGGTAACCGCCCGACAGAGCGTCCAACAATCAGTCAATATGCTCGCATGGCTTGGTACAAGACGGCCACAGAGTCACAGACTACACACCAGACGGAGGCTAACTAACTACATGTACATGTAATTACTTAGTCAAGGTGACGGAATAGTTTTGTCACTGTGACTACATGACTGTATACATGTACTGTACTGACTTGGGAACATGACATTCTACAACGGTTTGGGAAAAATAGATACACGCAGGTGATCATTTTGGTTAATACATGTCATGTAAATCCTGAACTCGTGTACATGTATTATTTTCTACTATTTTGTGTTTGTTTTGTGATACATGTACATGTCATGTAACGTTGCAATGACTTGTGTACACACGTACCACCTAGACATGTCCATTGTTAGTATTTTGTTACCCCTGTTTCGCCTGTATTACTAGCAGGTGACGTCCATGTTTTTAAAACGTTTACCTATTTTACCTATTTTACCTATGCAGCTCTACCACATACCAGGTTTTAAACACACAACCCAAAAACCGTGACAAGACTTGGGGACAATGGAACACACATCGGACAAGACTCAAGAGTCCAGCAAAGACTTGACAACATGGAACTCACATCGGACAAGACTCAAGAGTCCAGCAAAGACTTGACAACATGGAACTCACATCGGACAAGACTCAAGCGTCCAGCAAAGACTTGACAACATGGAACTCACATCGGACAAGACTCAAGAGTCAAGCAAAGACTTGACAACAATGGAACACACATCGGAATGCACACCCACGTGTGCGAAACAAACAGCTAGCTACCGTATTAATATAAAACACGGAGGGGAGTCATACGAGCTGCAGCGTGGCAGCAGTTTCTCTGACCGTGCCGAAAACTAAAAATGATCACAATCATTCCTGTGGTGTTATGAAGCGTTACATGACTGTGTACGTCACGTGTACATGTACTAGCAAGAGTAGATAAACTACTCTTGGTACTAGTAGTAGTACTTCCAAACTAATGCAGTAAATCACGTGACACCCTGTACAGTCTTTGCATGCATTGTAGGCTCTCACCACACGAGACTCTAGAAGGAATTTTCACATCGTGGAGAGACGGTAACGTTAGTACCTCGCTGATAACTCTTAAGGTGGGACACCACCTTCCAGGGGTCAAAAAATCAACTTTCGATTTGTCACCTTTTTGCTATTGGAAATCAAAGCATATGCCCTGAAGTGTCAGTATTCCAAATTTGAAGCGATTCGGACCAACCGTTGCAGTCTTATGACCGTTTGAAATTTGAAAATATTTGAAAAATTTGTACACATCGATGTTCGTACACTAAAAAGTTGAAAATTTTTGTACACATCGCGATGCTCGATCGTGCACAAAAAGAGCTGTCAAGATTGTGGCCGTGGAGTTTGGGAGTTTTGAAGCGCTTTTACTTCCAAATTTTGTTGCCATGGCAGCAGTGACCCGTGCCACGTGCAAAAAAAGTGCAAAAATTCTTTCCCAAAGGACTTCTTTGCTCTTGCAGTTTCGAGCGCGATGCACCATGCATGTGCACAATGGGGAACAAGAAGAGCAGGTCGTGCAAGCGTCCTGCAAAGAGAAGATTCTCACTGCACCTGTCCAGGAAGCTGCTGAGGGAGTTTATGAAGCTGAAGCAGTGCCAGAGTCCGCCTCGAAGCGCAAGTTGTACGATGGCGTTCCAAAAATAAGAATACAGTGATCATAATAAAAATTAATGGATTCAACTGAGCGATAGTGAGTCGGATTCGGAGGAGAGCTTTGATGGATGTGCGCTGGCCTCGAACTCAGACAGTTGCTCCCTCGAGTGATTCCTCGTTCTCTGAGGACTTTCATGGCCCAATCGCTGAAAGTTGTGATTCAGACGCCACTGGACTTGAATTGTTTACGAAATTTGATTTTCTCTGCTTGCTCGTATAAATACTGTGGAGGTGAGCTGACCATTGCTGAAACTGCACGTTCTGGCCTTGCATCCACTGTCAGAATCACATGCTGCAATGAAGAGCCAGTGTTCAGCAGGCACCAGCCTGCCAGTGGTGGAGAAGTCAGGACGGTTTTATGAGTGCAATCGCCGCAGTGTTCTGGCATCGCGCACTCTGGGAATTGGCCATGTTGGCTGGCAAATTTTTGCGGCCTCATGAATTTGCCCCACCTGTTCAGCTATCTGCATTCCAGCGGCACCAGCGAGCATTGTGCAAGGCAGCAAGGTCAGTTGCGCAAATCAGCATGAACGAAGCAGCAGATGAACAAGACAATGGACAAGCCTAAGCATATAACTGCTGTCACCTATGATGGTACGTGAATGAAGCGCGGGTTTTCCTCCCTACACGGTGCGTTTACGGCAATTGACTGGCAAGTCGGGAAGGTCCTTGACGTGCATCTAGCTTCCAAGTACTGCCATGGCTTCAGCTTGTGGTAAGCTCGCCAGGCGCATAGTTAAGTCACAGCTGACGAGTATGAGAAGTGGAAGTCGGGCCATATCCCTCTCTGCAACCGCACCTGGCTTTTTTGCAGAACGCCAGCTCATGTTGGAGGATAGTATTAGAGTGGCCAAGGCTGAGAAGAAGATGAAGCAGGAGGAAAAACAGCGAAGGAAACAAAGGAGGAGGTGCAGGAAGGGAATTGAGGAGCAGATTGTGGAAGCTGAGGGTGTCACATACGAGGCTGGTGGGTTTTAGTTGGAACAATAGTCTTAGAATCTATGAAAAAGACACCTAAATGTTTGTGCTTTTTGGCCTTTTTCTGCCTTCTTGGACATGATTGCGGCTAGTGTGTTTATTTTAGACCTATCAACCCATACATTTTTGGAATCAGTGACTTGTTGCGCAGGGATTGAACTACAATGGTGATCATAGGACCTTTTACATTGGATTTTGAGCTCCCACAGTGCCTTCTATTTTACGCGTTTTGCGCTCGTCCTGTTTTGTCTCTGCATTTGGGGTAGTAATACCTGTCAGATAGAGCTCATTGTAGTTCATTCCCTGCATAGGCATATGGACTGGGTTTTGCTGCATTTTGGAACTGTCTGTGTTGGTACATCTTGCTGCAAAGTTGTCCAAAAAAATTGCTGTTTGCGCGCACCCGTAAAGAAATTGTGTAGCCCATCAATCATTACTTGGATGACCTGTAAATTCTCTCTTTGGTGCCTACATTGTGGAGCAGTATATAGTGATTGAACATAGAAAATTTGAAGGCAATCTGCCAATCCGTTTTCATGATATGCCTATTTCAATTGTATGCGGTCTGATATGGGCCGCGAATGGTGGTGTCCCACCTTAAGCGGGATTCACAGAAGCTTTTTTGCGATGCGACACGCGATGCGACAG